TCAAACAGGTCGTAAGCGGTCTGGGGAGACTGGTAGATGGAAACGCAGGCAGTGCTGTTAAACAGCTCGGTTTGCATTCGCAGCGTCTTGCAGAACTCAATAGCGTTGGCGGAATCGAGACCGCGGGTCGAGTTATCCCAGCATTGCAGGGGAGCTCCCGACAAGGCAGCCTCGGAGATGGTAACTCGCTTACGCTCACCACCCGAAACTCCTCGGATGTACTCGTTACCAACTCGAGTGTTGACGGTGTGAGAAATGCCAAACATGGCCATGACGACGTCTCGCAGATGGGCGGCGAAGGCATTCCTGCTGAGGCCCTGGGGAAGATTTCGGGGCTGTCTGGCTCGAGCGGCAAAAGTGAGGGTGTCACCAACACTCAGTTGAGGGAAGTGGACATCGACCTCGGCGGTGTAGATGGCCTCACCACGGTGGTGGCTGTGCATCTCTTTGGCCGAAATTCCTGTGCGCATAAAGTTAGCATGGCGAAAGGTACAATACACGATACAACGTTATTTCCACGAGGCGGCTTATGGCTTTTCGGCTGTGGCACCCGAGGGGACGGCGGGTCAAGATGGGATGAAAACCCCAATCGACGTCTCACTGTCCACCTCATGCCTCTTATCCGCGCTCCATCAACCAATACATCTCCTCCCTCTCCTCCTAGGTAAACAAGCAAGACATTGTGGGGCGGAAATGTTTACCTTGGTAGTTGAAGTAGGCATCGTCATCGACGAAGATGCCGTTCATCTCACCAGCAATCGTCTTGAGGAAAGTCGAACAACCAGAACCTGGGGGTCCAAGGACAATCAACATCTCTCCCTTGCGAACGATGCCGTCAAACTGGCGCAGAATGTCAATGCGCTGCTTGTTGTTGGAAACTAAGCTTCCGATCCAGCCTGCAAGCGACAACCAGACGTTGCCGACATCCTTCTGGTAGTCGGTGGACTCGCCGAATCCGTGGACATTGAGGTTCTGGAAGCAGACACCAGCAGAGCGGAACGAGCCGCCATCCTGGGAGACGAGCTCAACAATGGCCTTGGCCCATTCCTTTCCGCTAAAGTTTTCTGATGCAGGATTCAAAGGCGAGTCCGGGCCAGCGAGGAAAGGATTGTCGCCAGCAGCTCCCGAGGCGCGCGAGTAGGAGCGGGCTAGCGCCTGGACAACAGAAGTCCTTCGGCGCATCTCCTTGGAGTCATCAACAAAGGCGTCAGCATCGTCGTCATCACCATCCGCCTCGAGCGTCCGCGAGGGAGATCCTTCATCCTTTTCGTTGAGGGTTTCAGTCGTATCATCGTGAATGGGCGTCTTTGGCGTGCTACCAATGGCAGCAACAGAGCCTTGCTCCTTGGCCACGGCACCCGAGTCGCTGTTGGGCGTCGCCATGGCTGCGGTGCTCTGATTGTTCGCGCAGCGTCAAAGCGTCTGATGCGGTCTCAGCCGCTGCTGCGCGTGTTCGGGGACTGAAATCTCGCGATCTGCCGTTTGGTGGTTTTGTCTCGTAGGGGCGGGTCCCGATGTAAAGTAGAAGCACAGGGGGGGAAAAAAGAGGCGTCACAACGAAGCCACCAAAGAAGCGGCAAGACTAACAACACCTCTTGTATAAGAGGCCGATTACAAAAGATTGACTGGCACAAGATTAAAAAATGATAGAAGAGAACCAGATCCAATCCAGACACCGGTAGAGAAAGGGTGGGAGGGATGCAGAGTCGAAGCAAAGGGCCTGTCGGGGAGGTTTTAGCTTCCTTTTGTTGGTCGTCAGGATCCCGCTGAACATCCATAGTACGATACCCGTATACAACCCAAGTACTGCAATCCATGCAATGGGGGGGGCTAGGGGGAGTGTGTGCTGGGTACCGGTACCGCCTTGTCACGAGCCTCGCAGTCTAGGTGCAGCCCGACCCGTCAGTGGACTGCGTTCTTGGCCCCATTCGTGCGCCAGCCACGGGTGTTCGTGGCAGTACTAAGGCACAAGGCACGGAGTACAGGTACAGGTACAGGCACGGGTGTAGGCTGCTCCGTGCTAGCGCGTCCGCAAAACTCCACCTGCTGGGGGAGTCCGCGCCTTAATCACGCCGCACTTTCTTCCTGGAAGTCCACTGGAAGCCCGCCATGGGCTAGGCGATCCGTCCCTCCACAGGGCCTTGCCACGGCGTATCTGAGATGCTCAGTGGACGAAAATAAGCGACAGCCCTTTTACGAGGACCACGGAGTACTCCGGACCTGGTTAGAGGCTGGCCCTATACGCGTATCGTCCAGGAAAATTTCGTGTGGAGTTTGCCGCTGGCCTCTTTTTTTTCTTCCCTTCTCCTGAGCACACGCATGTACCAGACTCGAAGTTACGGTGCCTTTTGCCAGTCATCGATACATGCACACGTGCAAGGTGCCCAACTCAGCTGGACTCGACTCGGTGCGGCGAGGGTTGCATTCCGGCGACTGCGATCAACGATCGGGCGTGCACTTGCACCAGACGATTCAACAGACGCGAGGCGAACCCTGGCTTTTTCGCGTCTGATGTCCTGCAGCCCAGCGTCTATGCGCTCCATCTCGTACATTCAATGACACTGCAGATCCATGTGCGCACATCACACAGCTGCGGTATACCGATGAGTGCGCATTGCGAAGTTTGCTGCGATACGAAAGCGGCAGCCCGTATTCTCATGCAGACGAGGCAGTCCAGTCAAGCCTGTTATTCTATACGCGTATTCCCGCCAGATTCCAATTGCGTGCGGACGGATTGATTCGGCCGAAGAACCAGCCAGCCCCACGAGCCCCCCGGGTGGGCAAAAGTCTCTCAAAGTCACTCAGCGCGCAACGCTGTCGGAGTCTTGCAACAACCCGACACCCCGCCAAAGGGTTTGCGGGCGTGGGGCCCGAGAGGGAGCATCTCAAGAGACTGAAATGCGTATAATGGGCGTATCGTATGCGACAGTAGGGCCACCTAGTTTCAAGCATAATCGTCGCCAAGCCCTCCGTTCTAATTAAAAGGGCGGGAAGCCATAACCGACACTTGCTCGCACTGCTGAGGGCGTCTATTCGCTATCTGGGCACTCGATAGTAGATTTGGCGCCCGGTGAGCTGTCATCTACACGTAGACTACGGAGTATTGAAGAGCACTCCGTACAGCAGCATCTCGACTCCTACTCTTACTAGGTAGGTAGGCAGAAGTATATCCTCACGCCTGTAATATTCCGTGATGCATATTCCGCACTTTGTTCTCCGTTCCTTCAAACTCATATTGCTTCTCCGCACCACTCCCCCCTTAGCTTGGGACCATCGATCCTAAGCATCTTTTGCCGACATTGGCGCTACTCCGCTTTCATGGCCTTCTTCTTCTTTGCCGTTTTCTGTCTGCCTATTCGACGCTCCGGGTAGCACTAACTCTTGTTTACAACGTAGTGGCCGGGGGGCGGATCGAAGTGACGGGCCCGGGTCGGACCCCGACAGAGTGGTGATATCACTCGAGACGACAATGTTGACATTTGCATCATTATTAATCGCGGTAGGTAGATCTTGATAATTGACCTATTCTCGTAGACCTAGTCGTATGGTGAGTCCCTATGTAGTGTGAGTATGACCTAGACATTACGTCCAGGAGGAGTCTCGTCGGTTCTGCGCCTCCAAGGGAATCGGCATCTGTCTGACCCTGGCCGAAGATCTCATCGCCTATGTTCGTATCTTCCACTTAGAACGAGGATACGGGACTCCGAGCTCCTTGCACCACCAGTTGCCGTATTCCGGCTACCTATAGTACTAATTCTCCGTTTCAAAACAGTACACTTTGATTTGATTACAAGCAGATGGTTTATTCGCATAACAGTCCTTGTCCCAAAAGCCGTTAGCTCGCCCGTCAAACACTCACCTACCTACATACCAGGTGCTCAATTCAACGCCCAGCGTCCCCTTGATATCCCGTAATAGGAGTCAAGTCTGCCCGTACATAGACGCAACAGGTCAGACCGCAAGATAGGTAAACTCGATAGCACCAGTATCAAGTAAACGCCAGCCTCGTACATGCACTCAGCAGCCCACATCAATCACTTCGCCTCGCTCGCCCCCCCTTTTCGCGTCCCCCATACTGGGCCATACATACATGGACTGACACGGCAACCATGTCCTCAGCTCACCAAACAGGCAGCCCATGTCCGCAAGCCCCCGTTCCGCTCCGCATTCTCAATCTCAAATCCAATATTGCTCAATGCTACTTGATACTCCGCCAACAGGCTCCGTTTGCGCCACGTTTCCGCCATAAAGGATGGGCATGACGCCGTTACAGGTACAATTACAGTAGTACTGGAGCCTAATAGAGCTGCCGCGCGGATGTTTCACCAAGGATGGGTCTGAATCTGATATCAACAGTATTGAGTTGTTCATCCCTCAGTGTGTGTATTCTGTTCGTATTGCTTTAGCCATATTATTGAATTGCAAAGCCATTACGGTGTAAGTTTGAACCAAAGAGTGACAACGCATTTGATATCCCATATCTTACATGCACATTGCTCTTAGCCCCTTTCTGACTAAGAGTAACATGTAACATTAGTGTTGCTAAGAGATTCATACTTGATACTGGCTTTAAACATACGGTGTGCTAATAATCAACACCAATGAAATTGCATCAGCAAACAGGGAATTCGACCTCTCCCTTTACCCTACATCTGACTTATCACTTCACCGTTCTTTTCCTTAGTACACAACGGGGATCTACTGTACTCGTCAGCAATTAACGGCCTAGGCATCATATCTGTAAACCTGTAAATGCCCTGTGCTGCTATAATAACGAATGTAGGGAATAAGATACTCGTACGGGCAGTAATTGATATTCGATTCATCACATCTCTGTAGCAAGCTTGATAAATGGAGACATCACGATACCTGTTCAATATGTGACTAAATGGGTACTGAAAGCGGATAAGTGGATATATGGTATGTACGACTCCGTCGGCGGTTGTAAACTCCCTTACTACACGCGTCCAGCTCTATTGATTTTGTCGTCAGATGCTGCATCAGAGAAAGTTGATGCCTACCCCTAATTGCACTCCTTTTGTGACCAGCTCCCCCCTTCTAACAATCACAGGCAAGCCAAAGTTGAGTTCAAACCTCGCCACCGGATGTGCGTATACCAGACCAACGCCAGCAGCTAAACTTGGAGGGCCGTTGAATAAGTCTCCAAAAGCGCTCAGGAGGCCACTCCGGACCATTTCGCCGTCTAGACCCTGAGATGTGTCTCGAGACTTGAGTTTGTTCTTCAGGGCAATCAGGCGGCCTCCGTTGGCAAACAGCTGCAGCCGGAGGCCGGAGTCAGGCCCTTTGTAGGGTAAGGGGAAGAGCATGTTGACGCTGCCAGCAGCAAACACATCTCCGCCAGCGGCATCCCGGCCATCGTGCGGCCCCAGCCCACCAAGCTTGAAGCTGCGAATATCCGTCGGTCCTCCAAGGAGAAAGCGGTCGTTCAGGCGACTAGGCAGCGCCTTACCGCCAAAGTTGTATCCGAGCGGCAGGGGGTAGAGGATTCCCGTCCTGAATCCCGCGCCAATGGAGATTCCCGTCCGTCCTTTGACTCCAGGCAGAGAAATTGGGACGGCGCCGCTAACTTCCAAGTCGCTCTTGGAGAAGGCAACGTCGCCGCCCAATGGACCGACGCCGGCCAGCTCCAGCCCAGTCCGAACCATGTATCCCTGCTGCGGCAAATGAGGGTTGTCCCGCCTCTCTCTGTAGAATATGTGCTTGATGGCGCTCTTGATGGTATCGCCAGCGTCTTGCCTGACCGTGGGGCTGGCATCGTTCGCAAGGCCCGTAATCTGCCGCCATGCTCCCGAGTATTCGACGGAATGCGTATCGCGTTGGCCATTCAGCCATGAAAAGCGGAGCGTCCCCCCTTTCAACACTTCTTCATGGGATGCCCACGGCTTCTCAACGGCAGAAGACAAAGCTTCCAAAGAAATGCGCATGTCCGGGTTGCTTAACACGGGCGCGCTTAGATTTGCGCTGTATGCGGAACGTGTGCGAGTTCCTGCCTTTGCATTCAGGGTGAGCATCTCGGCGCCGCCAAACATGTTGCGCCACAGCAAAGAGCCATATGCCGACCCCTCGCCATTCCCAACGTCGGTGCCAGTCTGAAGCTTGAAGCGGGGTAGTTCACGAAGTCCAATTGAAATGTCTACATCAGTAGGACTCGTCGATGCATCCACCTGGCTCGACTGTGACAGGTAGACCTGCGGAGGTTCTCTCAAGATTTCTGGCCCTCCTCGTTAGCAACTGCCCCAGGCAACGTCCGAGCTATCCTTCTTACGCAGTCCGCTAAGCTTTCCCGTCGCCATCTGTAGCCTTGACATGACATCGCCGACGGTATAGGGGGGGTCATTGCTGTCGCTCAGTAGAGGATTCAGTATGGGATCGAGAAAGCCCCGTCGGATGTTCTTGGCCCCCGTGACGGTAACCTCGTTGACCGTCATGGGCATTGACATTTGATCCACCATCTTGAAGCATGGTCAGCCGAGAATTGAAATCCCTCGCAAAGTAAGGTTCGGCGGTACCAATTGAGCTATCCTCTGCTCCTTGGCTTCATCCTCGGCACTCTGAAACTCGGGCCTCGTTCTGGCATCGCGGAGCACATCCTGGGCATCTGCGTGGAGCTTATTGAAGTGATTCGCGGGCTTCAAAGGTCAGCAGCTGCCATCTGGAAATGCAAGAAACAGCAGCGTGTTGCAGCCAATGCTTACCGGCCGCCCAGGGGATTCTGAGGTCGGCGCCATTGTTCAGCGCCTCGGATCTGCTGACTCGCTCGAGGTCAGCACACATGCAATTGTAGTCGGAAGATTTGGCCCTCCTGGTAGCTAGCCGGCCATCCTTGTCCGAAATAAACCTCGAACTTGTGGCGCAACCTACCCTGAAAGCACCAGCCACGTGGCTGAGCCTTCGCACACTCTCGGGCTTGGGTCCTCGGCTCTTAGTAGAGACGAAACCCCCCGAGTTGCCAGCTGGGCTGCAGTCATCCGGCCTAATCTGTGTTTCATCATCGTCTTCCTTAATAGTCCGTGTCTTCGTCCAACATTTTAATCTAATCCCCCACCACTCTCCGGCTTCCTTCTCCAGCGTCGCTGTATTCAATACCGAATTCCTTAAGCCGCTTCTATTTTCAGACTTTCTTTAACAATTGCCGACGGATTACTTCGACAACGACTTGCGCACGCGATCGATCAATCACCCTCCTTAGTCCAGCCATTCGATCCTTATCCCTCCCCCAGCGTTGAGATCATGGCGAGCAAAGCGGCGCACAAGCGGGTATGTATCCTCTCTGCATCGAGGGCCGTTTTTCGAACTGCGGATACTAACAGCCATGGCTAGTTAACGCGAGAGTTCAAGTCCATTTCCGAGAATCCTCCTCCATACATCACCGCCCATCCTTCCGAGTCCAACATCCTCGAGTATGTCGCCCCCAATTCTGGCTGTTTTAAAGCCTGATGCTGACATCAAAGCGTAGATGGCACTACATAATCACTGGCCCTGAAGATACGCCGTATCACGGAGGCCAGTACTGGGGAACGCTCATCTTCCCTCCGAACTATCCGTTCGCGCCGCCTGCGATCCGCATGCACACCCCGTCAGGCCGATTCCAGCCATCGACTAGACTTTGTCTTTCTATATCCGACTTTCATCCAAAATCCTTTAATCCAGCATGGGAGGTGTCGACCATCTTAATCGGCCTTTTGTCGTTTATGACCAGCGATGAGATGACCACCGGGTCGGTTTCTGCTTCTAGCGCCGAGCGTAAGTTCCTCGCCTCACGATCACGGTGGTGGAACTCGACTGGCGGTGGATCGCAAGCTAGAGGAAACATTGCTACCAAGGGCAACGTCAAGGCCGGCGATGGAGGCGCCAAATTCCGTTCAGAGTGGCCAGAAGTGGACCTTGAGAATTGGGAGTGGATGAGGAAGCACAAGGTGGATGCGGCCACCGGTAACCGAGCAGACGGCGACAATGGCTCTTCCTGCGGACCTCAGCTAGGCATTGCCGCGTCGAGCGGTAACCAGGCCCAGGCTGTGGTAGATGCCGTTGTACAACAGCGGGATGCTGGTCGAGGCTGGCTTTACCGGAACAAACTGCTTGTTGCGGGTGCGGCGATATTCATCTACGTACTGATTGCAAGGCTGGTAAGCGGCAACGAAACTCTGGCTTGATACGTTTCAGCGTGGTTATATGCAGAGGATACAGGGTACGGTATACAACGAAACAGCCAACAGCAGCCTGGAGGCGGACATTTCAAGAGCGGCGTTTTGGGTTGCAAATGGGTACAATTTATAATTGAGTTTTGGTATTTCAGATTGCAATTAATCAACCTCGTCTTGTTCTATCCCCTTGTTGTCTTTAGGTACGTGTGCATGCATGCAAGTTCTAGATACATTCCAGACGGGACAGGGTAACCATTTGCCATCTGTCCCATTTCCTGCCAAGGCTCGATGTTATCGATGCCAATCATGGATCGAATGATGCACATCATGGACTCGGTACCGGAAACTGGACTTGGACTGGACTGGGCCATACACGGCATTGGCTAGCAGTACCTTAGTACCTCTGCAGGACCAGGTACCTGGTAGTACCTTAGCACAGCTGGTACCTGTATTCAAAATCTTAGTACCTCCTAGTAGAGGTAATTCATTGCAGGACAGACGCCATCGATCGTTACTGAGGCATCCATAGATCAATGCTTTAATCATGACCAGGGAGACAGAAAGATCAGCTCCTTCACCCCTTGCATCCAGACAACCCCAGTACATGTACGTGTACATTCTCAGTAAGTGACTTGACCTGACTTCATACCTACAAAGTGGCAAGATCATCCAAAGCTGATCCCGAAATTCAGCCGCCAAAGCCAACGAAAAGCCAGAGGCAGGGAGCAATCAAATTTCTTAGTCTTGAGTGTCTCAGTCAGTATTAGTAGAGGCACAAGCAGCTAGAGCAGGCGCACAGGCATGAGGTGCAGCCTCTGCGGGGGGAAAAAATTGCTTAGACGCAAGTCCGATTTAGTGTCATCACTGCCAAAGCGAACGAACTCGAACTCCTCTTTCAGCTGCTTGACTTCTACCTTGTGTTCCATTCCTTCTCCCTGGCATCCCACCTCCCAACTGACGCCAGCGCTGCCTCAGCCTCTAGCCCAAGGCGACGTTTTCTGGCATTGACCAGGACTGGACTGATGCCTCTTTGCCGACATCTCCAGATTTGTCGTCCAGGTCTGGCGCGCGGGCGATCGGAAATCCAAGGCCTCCCCTGCCCCTCGCCGACCTGCGGATTTTGAGCAAGGCTCTCAGCCCACTCGCCGCACCAACCAGTCCGATCCATCAGATTTGGATCTGGCACCTCGACCGACCGACCACCATGGCGCCCTCCAACGGATCCGTCAGGTCTCGCAGGCCTGCCGTTGTCTCCAGCAAGCAGATGCCCAAGCCCGTCGTCCCTGCGATTCCTCTGCCCTACGTTAAGCGCCAGGCTGCCGCCGCCGCCGCCGCCGCTGCAGCTCCTGTGATCAACAACGTCAAGCCAGACGACAGTCCTCGAAACGGCTCTCTGGAAGTGCGGCCCCACGAGGTGAACCAGTCTTCGCCCACTCTGATTGCAGACACGCCCCATGCCAGCGAATCCCTTTCGGCTGGCAGCCCAGAATTGAAATCTGCCATTAAGAACGCCGTTGGTAAGTTTTATATGCATTGATTCTTCCTTGAAGGGGAGGCGCGAGCCAGCGCCCTGTCTTCTCGTCTTGTACTTACCCCTACTGGAGAAACACGACCTTGCTGACCCGACTGTCAACATGAATAGCTTCTGATACAGCCAAAGAAGTCGTGATCGCCAGCAGCAAGCCCGTTGCACCTGCCGACCGAGCTCCCGGCAACGACATGACCTCGACAAGCTACGCTGTGCAGCCGGCAAATGCAGAAGCTTCTGTACCGACCGCTCATGAAGCCTCTTCTGGAATGCAGACCAAGTTCCATGGTCCTGGGATCGGCGCTGTCCAAGATGAGCCAAGGCAGAGGCTAGGTAAGCTCCTACCTTGAGCGTTGATATACCGAGCTTTGAAGCTAACGACGATGCTCATTCATAGCTCAATACCCCCCGGTCAAGCTCGTCTCTTCTCAACCTCCCCCGCCTGTATCTCCAACTCGATACCAGATGCCGCCGCCCTTCCAACCAGCTCATCGCCCGATGGGCATTGTGGCGAATGGGGACCTGTCCCATGGGCCTAGGCCTCCTTTGCCAAATGGCCCACCTCACATGCATCAAGCTCATGCAAGCAACGGCAGCATTCACTTTGGAGCCTTTCACGATTCTCAAAGCTCCTCGCCGGCGCCTCCACACTCCGGAGGCATTGCGCCGCCGCCTGGTATGCCAATGCCGGATGGACGACCGCACCCCATGATGCCTCACAATGGCAATGGATTCCCACCCATGGTGCCATACGGGGCGGACATGATGGCTGTTACTAACTTTGACGGCTATGGCCGACCGATGGCTTATGCGCCCATGGACTCGTATCATCCGTATGGTAATATACTGGGACCGTCAACACCGCATAGCTTTCACGATTCCCAGTCTTCGGCTCACCAAGAAGAGACGGCCATGTATAACCAATATCGTCCTGGAGCTATGCATAACGGCATTGGGCCTGCCGATGAGGCTCAAGGTCAAAATCCCCAGGGGAGAATGTATGGGGTGCCAGACTATCCCCGGATGATGCCCAACCCAGGCCTGCCTCCCCCCATGGCTCAGGGCGACAATGCTGATGGATTCATTGAATACCTGCAAGAGCAATTCGCTCGTCATGAGCTGTCTGATTGTACTCTGGAACTTCGGTACACCGACGACAGGGCAGCGCCTGTGCGGATCCCTGGTCATCGATTGATCTTCGCTCGCAGCGCCCAGCTTTTCAACCTATTGCAGAAGCAGGCTTTCCAGGCGTCCCCCAACGATAGATTTCTGCAAACTCTTCTTCTAGAGACGGGCAGCAAGTGGATCCGTTCGGATTCATTTTACATGGCAGTTCAGCGCCTATACGGACTGCCATTGCTTCATCCTCCTCCTCGGCCCGTTGGCATGGAATCCGGCGACGTGACCGCTAGCGTATTTTCGGTGAAAGAACAAACTGACTTTGCAATCTCGTATGCTGCCGCTGGCCACCTCCTTGACTGGGCTCCGGTTGTCCGACGCGGCTGCGAAGTGGCCACCCACATCTTGACCTGGGAGACGTTGGAGCGTGTGCTGGAATTTGCGTTGGATGGATACCGGGACAAGGGCTCTCACGAAACCTACCAGTATGGCAACGGATCACAAATCCTCCTTAATGCCATTGTCACCTTTCTAATTCACAATTTCCCCTCGCACTTCAATTTGGACACCGAGGCCGTAGAGTTTGTGCCATATGGCAGACTGCCAATCAACCCACCACCTTTGGCCAAAGATGCTCTTGACAATGGGGTGCTCCCGGCATCTGCTGAGGGATCGATTGTGCAACTGGGCAAAGGACGCCGTCCTCAAAAGCTTGACGGCATCCAGTTTGGCGACTTATCCTTCTCGGAAGCTAAGAGCTTGGCCGATGCAAATACGCCCAAAGCCACCCGTGCCGCACAACCGGCCTCGTTTTCGATTCTGTCCCGTATCCTCATCGAGATACCGTTTACTCAGCTCAAAATGATCTTGGAATCTTCTGGGTCAGGCAACGTCAATGGTTGGGCGAATACGGAATCTCGCTATCGCATTATCAAGATTGCCGTAGAGGAACGCGAATGGCGCCGCCGTAGGGTCCTAGACGCCGTATTGTCCGGCCAAGTTCCCGATGCAGAAGCGATCCGGGCAGGCCTTCGCAGCCCAGAGCCGAGAGATCTAGGCCGGTGGATCGCCCTGGGATGGCAGGAAGAGATACTGTCGTATGGTAACCCAGATGGCCCTACCTTGGCACGCAAATGGGTTCCATTGATGGAAGCACAGAATGGCTCCCTATCCAACGTCGCCGAGTATCCATGATGATCATTTTGCGTTGTTTGATGATTAACGACTCCTCTCGCAATGAGATGACGTGCCTTACACCGAGCATTTGCATCCCAGCTCTCTCCAAAAGTTTCTCACTTTGGCATGTTGCCTCACAAAGGGGCCTTGGCTCCTTTTCTTCTTGTCTTGAAAATTGGCGTGCATTGGTGTTCTTTGATACAACACGAAAATTGCCGGCGGATTGTTTTTTTTTTTTGGTTCTGCGGAGAGGCTGCTTTTGGGTTGGATTGCGGAAGGAAGGATATGGGATGATGACGCCAAATCATACATAAAATGGGCGCTCAGCAATCGCGCGAGCATATCTTTTGTGGTCATGCTATTCCCACTGAAAACACCGGACGTACAGACATCTGCAGAGCACTGCCAACAGACGGCCTCACTTTGACGGAGCTTCGAGATAAACGTCGATGACAAACCCCCCACCCCCCTGAAGGAGACGGACTGATTCCAGCTGTCTCCTTTGAAGCATCTCACGTGAGCACCCTTTGGTATGAAGCAAGAATATTATGCGGGTGTAGAAAATGGAAGGGAATTGGCGGAACGGAATATTGGGGGGTTTTTTTTTTTTTTTTTTAAAAAAAGAAATTGCTCCCTACTTGGAAGCATATGATAACGTTTTGATGATTTCGAAGGCAGCTAGCTACCAGGATAGCGGCTAGATAATGTGGAATGCATATTGCGGTGGTTGCGGATTCAGGCCAAGGTCGGTAAGCTGGCCACGTTATTTGCGAGCAAATGGCCAGCAGGATGGATGAAAAAGACAAGGCGATGGTGGTTAGGCACACTTTGTCGTTGCGTTTGCAGGTAGCAGTTTATAATCGTCTAGGTTGATGGGGGATTTCTCGATTTGCGGCCTCTCACCTGTGAATGGGATGATGCTTTTTATACTAGGTAGTATTAGGTAGTATCTTATAATATGTCGACCATGGTGTATGTTCCATGGCCGCCTCAAACCTGTTTTGTGCAGTCTAGGCTGGGAGAAGACGTCGGAGAACTGCCGACATTTTGCGATGCATGATGCCCCTGATAACGGGCATCGTGCAGGTGTTAGCTTGGGTGGTGTGAGTTTTACGGTGAGGACTTGCTCTGCCACGTATTGCAGTTGATGAAACACGTAGATGCTGGCTTATCTCATGGTACTAGTATATAGATAGGGGCATGAGTTGTTTAAGCAGCCAACACCAATTCCATGTTTTTATAAGGGGTTGTCATCATAGTAGGTAGCTAATAGTTGCTGTGATGGAATGTGAGATGAGATACCTTGGATATCCGGCTATTTTCAAGGCTAAAGAATGTAGCGGTTAGTACTAACAGTAAATTGGATATCCGGATCAAACACCCAAGGTACATATAGGCAGGTACAAGTCTTGGTCCTTTTCAGTAATAAGGATTGCCTACAGTAGGTGTGCGTGAAAAGCTCATGAGTACAAGGCATTGATCTGTCTCATGATGATTCTCTTTCCTCGGCGTAGATGACCGCAACAGTATCTACATGCAATGGCAATCCACATCGGGCAATCAAACACACCGAGTGCAGATGAAGTCATCGGCGACAGTGACAATGGGGAAGCCCTGTGCTGTGTCAAGTGTGCTGGCCCCACCCTAAACCCCCTGTATTATAGCGGTCTTGGAGCTCCATAATTGCCTCCACGCCCGCTCACATGTGCCGCGCTGCCGAGGCTCACTCAGCCTTTCGTTTGTACCGCACTGGCCACTGCAGCGCAGGACAGGGAGGAGCTTTGGCTCTTGCAACTTCGTTGCGGGCTTCACAGATCGATCCGAGTGCCTGGCGTGGCGATAGCCTCATCCTGGGCTGTTGGAATCGAGCCTCTCCTGCTCTGGGGACACGTCGCAAGAGCAAAGACTCGGCTCAGGGAGCGTCAACATCAAGCTACGTGGCATTGCCGCCATCGCGCTCACAGCAGAGTCACCGTCACACCACTTCGACTCCTTTGCTCTCCCTCGTTCGCCGGGGGGGTTTGGGTGATAACGGGCATATTTTGCGGCTCAGGCTGGCCCGTGTCGGTTGTTCGTGTTTGGAGGAACCGGGACTCGACGTTTGACTACTTAACACCACTCACGGCAGCTGGTCCTCGCGACAGCCCGGCGACACCACACGGCTTGCGTACTCACGACATCAAACCAGCCCGCGACATCGACGACCATCGTTACAATGGCATCGCCATCAGCGCTGGCCCCGCCTCCGAGCGACAAGGCCGTCATGCAGGGCACTGGAGCCGGCTCTTCCGGGCCAGACCCGATCCTGCGGAATGCCTTGCGATACACCATCTCGCCGCGCGAATACGCGGCTCTGCACAAGTACATCCTCTCCAAGTCGCGGGCGCTGCGCCGCGCGGCACCAAGCCCAAGCAGCGTGGACAAGGCGCTGCAGCCGAGGAAGGGAGGCGACGACTACAATGCAAAGGCGGTGCGACACTCGCTGCGCGTCTTCACGGCGACGTGGATTGGCATGAAGGCGTGGGACGCGGTCATGAAGAGGCTTGGGAGCAAGGAGTAAGTTCTGCTTGTTTCGGTGAATGGACTTGATCGTGGTTGTTGCGATGACTGACGAATCTTTGAAATGAAATTAGTCCGAGTGCAGGTGGGCAGAAGAAGCCAATCTACAAATCCCCCGCCTTGAGGCTCTCCCTCTCGCTGTCCAGCATCTTGTTTCTCTACCGGGTGCTCTTCCGCTTCCTCACCCGGCTCCGCGTCCATCTCCTGGATCCTCAAGCAGAGCCTTTCCGGCTGCGCAACCCACGGACGACGGCAACCCTGACGTCGCCGTTTGCGCCGGCCATTGGTGCCTCGCTCGCGGGCCTTGCCCTCGGCGTCTATCCGTCCCAGCAGATGCGTGTCAGCATCGCCATCTACGCCCTGTTCCGGGCCTTGGAGTTTGGCTGGAATGTGTGCGAGAAGGACGGCATGATTTGGGGCATCAAGAATGGGAAGAACCGCGAGCGGCCCTGGTGGTTCGGTAGCTGGATGCTGCAGCCCCTGGCTTTCGGCCAATTGCTCCACGCTGCAGTCTTTGACCCTGATTGCTTCCCTTCTGTACGCTTTTTAATCCCTTCGACCAAGGACCACTTACTAACAGTGTGATAGTCTTTTGGAGATTTTATTTTCAAAAACTCGTCTACTTACCTGCCCCCGCGGCCAGAGAACTATCCCACGACTCTCAAATGGCCCAGTGCGACTGACGTCCTGGCGAATATCGCAGAGATGGCCCGACTCAACTGGCCGTAAGTGAAATTCTCACTGCGAAAATACGTTGACTAGGCTAACCTGGGCTTTCATGCTTCTGTAGACCCAATATTTCTCCCATCTTGTTCCCCAACAAAGAGGTTCTCCCGCCCACGCTGGCTGGCGTCTCACCACTGAGCTCACAGGCTCACCCGCTCATTACCTCCCTCTCCTGCGCAACTCTTCACCCCACAGACCCATCTTGTCTGCGAACCTACCTCACCTTTTGGCTCAACTCCTTCCCGACCATGACGCGTTTCTTCCTCATCTTTACTTCCGCCATGACCATCATCCCCCGGTTCCGCAACCTGTACAACTTCCCATTCGCCACCATCCAGCGCATCATATCGCAGGCTCTGCGCCTCTCCACCTTTGCTACGGGGTCCATCTCGACGGCCTGGGCATCTATTTGCTTCTTCCAGCAGTATCTTCCCCGTCATGTCCTTGCGACGCAGCGTATCTTCTTTGGAGGCTTCCTCGCGGGCATGTGGGCGTGGGTAGAGCGTCGCCACGGCCGCGGCGTGTTCCTGTACTCTGCTCGTGCCAGCGTCGACAGCCTGTGGAAGGTGGGTGTGAAGCGACGCTGGTGGAAGGCCATGAAGGGCGGAGACGTGTGGGTGTTTGTTCTCGCGCTGATGGTGACGGGCGTGGTGTATGAGCGCGACGCAAAGGCCATTCGGGAGGGCCAGTGGCGCAAGGGTGTGAGCTGGCTGCGGGGCGAAGGGTGGAAGGACTGGGCTTTGGAGGAGGATGGGGAAGATGAGGATGAAGAGAAGGACAAGGATGAGTAGGGGCCGTTTCTGAAGATGGGGGTGTTGATGTGTATGATTTGAGGGGACAGGCGGCGGCAATGTGTTTGGCGTTGGGGGGCGGTTTTGAATCGATATGTGCTAATTACCTGGGGGGTTCGGCGGTATTGTACATCAAAGGTCTCATGTAGATGCATGTAGACGGGGCGTTTTATCAATGTATGAGTTTTTTATCCGGAATCTTGAGAAAGCGTATCTGTAAAATGATGTTGGTATTTCATTCTGATGATCGCGAATATTCCTACAATACAAAATCGACAGTGGGCTGTCCCTCAATCCCACATAGCAAAAACGCATGAAAAAGTTGTTTACACAAGTCTCTAGAGACATTACGAGCCAAATCATCCGACTCCCCCCCATTCCCCCGTTCTCTCTCACTCGGCGAGGTGGCTTCTCACATCTTTGCCGGCGGGCTTCGCCCAGTGCGTCTTGACGCCTCCCCAGCTCTCCTCGCTGTAGCCCTCCTGGACCTTCTTGCAGGTGCGCAGTCCCCATTCGGTGACGCCGACCATGAGGCAGCTCTCGAACATGAAGGCGCAGCTGCCGCCGCCGACCTTGACGGGGGCGAGCGCGGCGTTGCGGGCACCCTCGTGGCTGTCGGCGTCCGGGCCGTGGCCGCTCATGACGTTGTGCAGGCTGGCGCCGCCGGGGACGAAGCCGCCGGCGCCGCCCCTCTTGGCGTCGTAGCCGCCGCAGATGAGGCCCATGAACTCGCTCATGGTGTTGCGGTGGTACCAGGGCGGGCGGAAGGTGTCCTCGCCGACGAGCCAGCGCGGGGGGAAGATGACGAAGTCGGCGACGGCGGTTCCCGGCACGCCGGACGGGGCGGACAGGACGGTGAAGATGGACGGGTCCGGGTGGTCGTACGAGATGGTGCCGATGGTGTTGAAGCGGCCCAGGTCGTACTTGTAGGGGTAGTAGTTGCCCTGCCAGCCGACGACGTCAAAGGGCGTGTGAGCCTGGCGCGTGTGGAAGAGCGTGTTGTTGAGCTTGACGGTGACGTCGAACGAGCTGCTGCCCTCGGAGGCCGTGGCGCCAAAGTCCTCGCTGAAATGGGCCACGGGTGCCTGGAAGTCGCGGGCGTTGGCGAGGCCGTTGGAGCCGATGGGGCCCAGCTCGGGGAGGTTGAAGTGGCCCTGATACAGCTCGAGCGCGTAGCCCCTGGCCGGGCCCGACGACAGCTGGACCTGGTATTTGACGCCGCGGGGGATGACGCAGATCTCCATGGGACGCACCAGCAGCCAGCCAAACTCGGTGCGGATGTTGAGGTCGCCCTCCTGCGGCACGACGAGGAGGTCGCCGTCGGCCGAGTAAAAGGCCGAGTTCTCGTCCATGCTCTTGCCGGCGGCGTAGACCAGCATGCCGAGGCCCTGCTTGAGCGTCGGGTCGCCGGCGCCCGCGACGAGCCTCATGCCCGAAACGAAGTCGAGGTCGCGCGCCTCATTGTGGTCGAAGGGATCCCACCGCAGCTGGTTGGGGATGTAGCGCAGCTTGGAGGTGTCGGCGCCCTCCTGTGCGGCGCGAGACTCGGGGGACGGCTGGTAGGGCGGGTGGGCGCACGAGGGCAGGATGCGGTACAGCCATGTCTGCTTGTTCTCGTGGCGGGGGGCTGTGAAGGCGGTTCCGGAGAGCTTTTCTGCGTAGAGGCCGTAGGGGGGCTTCTGGGGGGAGTTTTGGCCGATGGGGAGGGCGCCTTGGATGGCTTCGGATCTGTGGTGAGGTTAGCATTGGGAGGTGTAGAGGTGAGGTTGGGTGTAAGTCGCGGTACTAAGCTGGGGATGGCTCAGGTAGGGGAGAGATTGACGTACTCTAGGTGGTTGTTGAAGCCATTTTGGTATTTGTAGAGCTCCTTTGTGGCAAACTCTGTGACGGGCATGTTGGCGATATTTTTTTTTTTAATATTTGCTTTCAAAGACCTAGGTATCTACAGTTTGTGAAGCGATGTAAAGCGAAGGTGTTTGGAGTCAATCAATTCGCCAATGGAGCTCTAGAAGTAAGTACAAGGAGCAGCTCTAGGTGGTTGTGAATTGAAGAAGTGAAGCTGCATATATATAACGCGACACACGGACCAAAAAAGAAAAAGAAAAAGAAAAGAAAAAGAAAAGAGAAACAACCTGAGCTGCACAAGCACCGCCTCTCCTCTCCGGCCATACAAGGCCAACTCAATTTGCATCTGATGACGCGAACCGAATCGTCTTTGCGTCCAACAAGTGCAAGTTTGGGGCTGATTCCGATTCCGCCCCCGAATCCGACGGTTTCTGTCGGATCATGGAGAGGTGGATGACAAAACTATGTTGACAGTTTTCTACCCAAATTGCGAGCAATACTGTCGGATCTTTGTTGATCCAGCTTGTTCCGTTGAATAGCGGCCTTACCCCGCCGCCCCCACTTGGAGCTCCTTGTCCGGAACGGTTCCGCCGCTGGAGGGCCCCGTAGGAGCTTGTTGAAAGCCGAGTCCAGCCCCGGTGCGGCTTTATTAGGCTGGATCCGGATTTGATAAGTCCTGGAAGCTCGATGCTTCCAGTGGATCACACGGGTGCTGGGACTTGTAATATTTTGATTTGATACTGTTTGGAATTGAGCATACTGTAACTAAAGTGTACTCGTTATCGAGCTTGATACAAGCTGTTGTTCCGAATAATCTGATTCCTATCTTAGCTACGATATTATGTCAATGCTTGATTCCAAATAGAACCCACAAGCCTCCATATGTTTCTGACTGCCTTAGTTCTATGGGATTTGTTGCTATCCTGTGTACATCTTGCTTGATCTCTTCTCCTCTGTTGCAAACAAAATTGAGTGGCCCGCAAGATACATGCAGTGGTTTTGTAGCTTGCACAGACTGCTTCTATGCGAGTTGCTTGATTTCGATTGACTGGTAACTTCAAGTTCTCGGCGCACGTGTGCGGATGACCTTGGGGTATAATTGATCCAGAGGTTTGGATAACTGCGCCACAAAGACTGCCAATATATCCTGCCGTTCTTCAAACATCCACCGCAAAAGGGCAAACCTCTGAGCCAATATATAATCTGTTCGAAAAGTCTGATTTTCGAGGAGAAAGTTCGCGTTTTCTCCTTTCACATGATCCGTATTGGCAAGGTCCTTCTGCAAATCGGTTTTACAACTGTCCCAGTGGGTTGTAAAAGATTCGGCGCGTACCAGTTCTCTTGCTTTGGCACGGAGATTGTCCATCAATCTAGCAAACATCTGTTCTCCAAGACCATTGTCGAAGAAGTCCTCGAAATCCATTTCAATGAGATCTCTGTGATTGACATGCTTGGGCGGGTATGCCGCTTCGAAAGCCGCTCTCGTTGCTGGGTGTATTCCTGCTATCCCACCCACAGGGCCTGGCTGCAGATTTCTGTCTTTAACCATGAGAGACTCTACTGCGCTTATGTACGTCCAAGATTCAAGCATATTTTTCTTAGTTATCAGTGAAGGCTCATTCGTAGTGTGAATGGCGCTGATGATCCTATCTGGAGTAAGCATCAAATCGGTCTCGATGCTGCCTAATTGCTCTCCGGATGGTTCTGGTCCAATTTCCGTGTGTCTTGGTGCATCTTTATGATGGGTATATCGACTCCCTTGGCTTTCCCATCGTTCAATTCTGGCTTTACTGAACGAAGCGCATGATCTCTTAGCTCGCTCGAAGCGCTCTCGACTTCGGACTATAATCAAGGATTGCGCGTGGAGGAGTGAGTACGAATTGATGATTTGATGATGCTCTGCCGACAATTTGCCAATATTTACTCTCCATGCCTCCGTTTCTGGCCATCTTTTCTTCCCTCTCTTTTGCTCCGGCACATGAATGCTGGTGATATCCTTATGAGGCGCTCCTTTTAGCAAAGAATTTTCCGGATATGGAATCTTCAGCTTGTGCAGAAGCTCAGCGAATGGTGACTCCCAACAACGAGATTCATCGCAAAAGATTATGGCAATTTCCGGACTGATTGGAAAGATAATGTGCATGACATCGTCCGTCGTCAACATGGCGAGCTGGAGTCTTCCGTTTTCCTTCTCTTCTGCCCCTAAATAGGACTCTGTATCGCCTTCAAAATCCGCCAGGCCTTCATTAAGAAAGAATTCATGATCATCGGCAGCTCTCCAAATTTGAAGAGAATATCGCTCGATAAGATGGCTATATGTGTGTGCCCAGGCATTCTTATCCGCATCAGTCAGAAGATCCTCGTGACTGGTCTGCAAGAGGTACAGCAAACCCTCAAGCCAAAATTGTGATGGGTCGTCAGATCGACCTTGATTTCGTGCTTTTTCGAACATTTCTTGGAACATAAAGTCATTTTTTCAATAAGGATCAGCTACCTCGTCTCGAAAATACTTGGATAGTTTCCTGGAAAGGTCCATAAACTTGAAGAGGATGTGAATGTCTTTTTCAAGGATGTCGATGTGGTCAAGACCTTTAGTAACGGTGTCTCTTATTTTGCTAAATATTTGGCTTGATTTGCTCTCCAGCTCGCTGAACAGCTCTTCGATGTTTCTAGGGTTGGCGCTGCTCGGAAGATCATAGAGATTGTATTCACCGCATGTCTTGCTGACGCCTGCGACTTGAAATCCCTTACTTGGGAGTTGGAGAACATGTAGCAAACCATCTCTAGTAGATCTATGAGATGATTAGATAGGTTTTGAAGAGAAGTATCAGATATTCTCACTTTTTGCCTGTACTCTCTGAGAAAGCAAAGTGCTTCAAAATGAAGCGGGGTATATAATGCTGGTATTGTAGTCGTGCCATTTGGAGCTAATGATTGAGGAAAGTTTGGCTTCAACGAGAAACATTCTCGCTCTTAATGCTCAATGAGCTTTATATATCAACATTATTGCACGCAGGTGTTAGGAAGAGTCGTATACATGTATACAGTCGTGCATCGGACAATGAGTCATTTGCCGAAGGACGACTCCATCTTCGAGCCTGTGTAACTGCCAAGGTAACTATCCTAAGAGGATGTAATATCAGAAACAAGAGAGTGGTAGCCAAAGGATGTACGTAATTCAATATGATTTGCTGTTCAACACTTCCTAAGGTCTTGTTTGGTGTAGCCCCAGATGCCTCTGGCCAAAAACAAGATCCTCAGCCATAGATGTATCTCCGGAAATATGTCCTGTAGTCGGCCATGCGGTTAAGAGGGTACGGAATCTAGCCCTTACGATAGGTGATTTCGAGGCCACTTTAGGAGACTACGAGACCTTTGTAAATTAGAACGCATCTACCCGAGTTGATGTTGTTTGGGGTCGTGGCCGTTGAGAGCACATTTGCATATCTCAAGACATACCTGAGGCGATGTCGCATAGCCGCTTTGCATCAGGCAATACGTACATGGTATTGTCAAATGACTTCGCGGTTCGCGAGAGGGCGCCAGGAATCTAGGTGTTTCGTTACGTCGTATTTACTACACCACATGCATTGGGGTGCGCATTGCATGAATTCAGCGGCCAATAACACGGATTGGCTGTATCTCCAGTACTAATACCCATCTCTAAGCGTGCCCTCGATTGGTAGACGAGAGCCCTGCTCTTATCCGACGAAACGCAATTGCAGCACGATGCAAAACCATTTAATTTAAAAAGTTTTCTTTTTACAAATTTGAGTCATACATCTTAGCTAGTCGAATCGACAGAAGTGTTTCAAAGTGCCACCGCTGCGTTTGAGGTAAAGTTGCGTGCTGCCTCTTTTTACTTGGCGTCGCAACCTCGACGGCAGCGTCTGTCTAAAGAGGCAGTATGAAGGAAGCAGGTTTGCTCAGTCCCGTTGCAGACATTGCAACATGTTTTATTTTCAGCGCCATTTTTCTCTCCTTGGAAATAACGGGTGGTTTCTGACACTTGTGAAATATGCTTGATGCTCGACTTCACCCTGCAACTTGTGTTGAAATTCACAATGCTGTTCTCTGTATTTCGTATACCCATTCGCATAACCCCACCCCAAACTGACATTCAGCCATAATCCGTACAGCTTGTCCTTTCCAGTTTCCCTTTGGCCGTGAGATTCCGTGCCCTTGACTGTAAAAAGCATTAGATGCTGGGCAATAGATGTTTCTCCGCGTCTTCGAGCTGCCTAACCTACACTGCCCATGAATTTCACTCTCCATGTTCTACACCCGATATCAGATGAGAGCAATTATACAAGACATCACATCGCACAGGCAGAGTGGCTTACCGCATCAGATACTTGTAATAACACTTGATGCATGCCATCATCTTTCGAGCCCGTCCTTCTTTCGTAGGTCGCGACACTTGCTTGGCTGGGTGTTGCCACACATATTAGACAAATCTTCGTTTTCTCATAGCAGTGCTCCGAAATACCTCTTCGAATCCTTTTTGCAGCCTTGTTCATCATTTCAAAATCTTGCGGTGGTTCGGTGGTTCGAAGAGATGCGTGGATGGTGTTACGGGTGCTGCTCTATAGCGACTTGTGTACCTAGTCAATACGTAACACAGAGAGAACAAGCCTCTACTGTGGTTAATTTCTGGCAGCGGAGAATCGGGAGGGGATAATCATTGAAGAATTCAAAAAGAATTCATCGAGATCGAAATATTGAAAGGGTTTTGTTGCGTGAGATTCGAGCCGTTTCAGGGATTAGGGTAGTCGGAGAGGGGTCGCATATGGATTTGCGTGTGCGCGGTATCGGGATGTTAAGTCTTAAGGGAGGAGAGGATAAAAGTAATGACAATGATCGCGTGTATTTCGGGCTTGTAATTGACGAGATTGGAACTTTCGATACTTTCCCAAATTTTCGTAGGTTCGATGAAGATCCGGATTGAGTCGTGTGGTTCGGCGGAGGTCGTCTACGGGCCTTGGCGAAGTGCCTACGCAGTAGTATGGTCAGCGGCATTGCAATGCAGAAGACTACAAGCACCAGCTCTTTAGGGTATCATACAGAATTCGTGGAATAAGAGCGAAAGGGGGGCGTTGATTGATCCATCAACCGGTTTAATGCTTTATTCGTCCCTTCAAGGCATATCCTCATTGAGTCGACAAAGATCGGTGGGCGGCGTATGGGTAATACTCCTGGTCGTGACAAAAAGCGTTCCTCGTGTTTCCCATATTGTTCAACTCGGCGTCTATGACATCGCATTTTCCATCAAAATCTTCAAAACATTCATCGCTAGAATCCATATCGGCGGTCCATTGGATTGTATTCACTCGCATTGCGGTCCGCGGCATCACGTCTCGATGATCGCCAACGTTCACTCATGATTGTCGGTCGGAGGTGAGGCAAGTTCGTGCAAGGGGCTTCAGTCGTATACAACCTGCATTTCCTGAATCCTCGAAACAGTCATATGAGCATTTTGCCCATGTCGCAGGACCGTTGTGGACCGTCTAGGACATCGCCGACCTCCACCGGCGGCAATGAGGCCTGGATTACAGGGTAACTGACACGCGATATCCCTCAGTCAGGCGGGATGGAGGCATCGGGACGAGCATCGTCGGGAAGTTTAGGGACGGCATCTTCAATTATTGTCACAGGTTGGTTTCGAAAATAGGCAAGGGAGGTGGCCCGGGGCCATGACGTTGAAAGACTCGAAAGTTTGGTCAACTTGCAACATTAGTATGTGTGCATATGTCAGGCAAGCATGCGCGCTGGGAAAAACAGTAACAGAAACAAAGAAAAAGCCTTTGGGGTTTTCGTGTCGGCTGTTTCGTCTATCTAATGGCATGATGCATTGAAGTGATTTAGGCGTGCGGTGTATGGAAGCCGGGAGCTTTGCATGGGAGTTGCGAGTGTCGTATTGACTGGGCAGTGGGATTCGTTTGACGGTGGATTCTCAATTTCCGTTCAAGTCACAGTCACCAAGTTCAGACGCAAGGGGATGCCGTGTAGTGCAGGTTATATCATCTTTCGCATCGGTCCAGAGTGCAAGTGAATTGTCCTTGAGGGCTGCATCCTGTGATCAATTGACTCTCGGGAGTCATCACATCGTGTGGGCTGTTTCGTGCTGACGTTTGACGGCAAACACGCGATGCATCGTGCTATGAGGCCCACAGCGGGGCTCGGTGTGCAGGCCGACGGTCCCGCTATAGAACCACCGTCTGTCCTTGGGAAAGAATGTTGAACGCTGAGCGTATGATTTGGACGCCATTCACAGGTGACAGGCCATGCAATGCAGGATGAAAAAGAGCGGGAGATGCAAGGCGCTGCTTCCGGGGGAGGGAGGCCATTTTGGATGAATGTCCTGCGTGTCTTCAGCCGCTGCGGAGTAAATGCTTGCGTCCAAGTTCCCTACATACTGTACGCCGAAACTGTGTCCCCTGACCCCGACAGAGCCAATCACTACCGCGCCTCCCATCTAAACCCAGACAGGTAGTAAATGGCTCGCTGCAACGCAGTCCGGATGCGATTCAGTCGGGCGAGTCGCCGGATGTCATTGGACGGGAGATACGGGATGGAGGGAGTACGTCACTTTTTCGAGACAATGGTCGGGTCAAGTACCGGATACCTGACGTAAAGCGTTGTGGGCGCCGTGGAGCCAAGTACCCGATCCACTCGGAGAGATCGGCCGGTGAGGGGCAGGGGGGGGGGGCGATTTAGTCACATTGGATGGCTGATTGACTTCAATTCGCGATGCCACGGCACTTGCTCATGAGCGCATCCAGAGGCAAATCCCAGGGAAAATCTTCGTGCATCCAGACGAAAAACTGCCCACGGCACTTTGCAACCTCTTCCCCTGGCGCAGGCTCTTTTTTTTCTTCAACCGGTACTCGTTTGCGCAGTGGGTCTGCTTCCCCAGATTCTTTCCCCGGATTTGGGTGGATATTAGTGCATCAGCGCCTGCTAAGCCTAATCGGGTACCACAGGGCCTAGGTCCAGCCATCGCCAGTGGTATCATTGTCACGCGATCCAGTGCTCATTCCCAGTCCGGGAGAAGGAAGTCGTTACCCCGCCCGGGCTGCGTAAGGGGCAGGCAATGGCGATGGGATGCTCACTCACGGAAGCGAGTACCACCGTGCCTGCCTGCCAACCTTTATCAAGCCACTGTTTCCCCTCTCTCCAACCTTCTCCTCTTCTCTCTTCTCTTCATCACATTCCAACACTCTTCATCCATCGTCTTCTATTCATCAACAGGTAAACAGACAGCCCTGATAGTTTCCCTTTGGCATCGTCTGCATCTCCGGCTTACACAGTCAATCCAGCTCCTGATCCAGCCACAAACCAACCGTCGCCATGTCTGAACCTCTCACCAAGGTCGACTCGGCCGTTCAAGGCCTGTCATCATCACCGCCCAAAGAGAAGGGCCATAGGAGATCAAGCTCTAGCGCGGCTGGTGTCATGACCATTGCTGAAATCAGTAAGTTGCCTCGTAGTCTTGCATAGCTGATGGCATCTTCGTTTACTGACACTGCACGACAGATGAAAGCCATGCGCCTCTAGAACTCGCAATAGAGACACAGCAGACAGCGTGGTACGTTTCAATTTACTGAGCAATCAGCATCCAGTCATTGCCATTCATCATCTCACATAAACTGACACCTCTTCCCAACACAGGAAAATAAATCAGCGGCCCAAGGATCTTGACAATGACCAGCTGCTACAGCTTCCCCTCACCAAGCCTCCCATCAAGAGCATAACATTGAAGTTCCCCCATGGCAAAGAGGTCGTGGCTCGCAACCTGAAGGGCCTGACAATAGGTGACGCCCTGTCGGCCATCCACAAGGCGAACAAGAACCGAGTAAGTCTTGGACATGTATTCACAGTTCCCTTTGCAAAGATCTGTCGACTAACGTCATTGGCAGGCCGATGATGAGCTTGATAACCCATATCTCAAGGGCTTCGCATGGGATCAGGGCGAGACCTACTTTGAAGTACATCTCCAGAGCCAGCCGGCGACGGGCTCGTCAAGCGGCGGTGGCGGTGGCAAGAAGAAGAAGAAGAGCAAGGACAATGACGAGTAAATGCCCATCCACCCATCCTTAATGTCTGTTCAATAGTTCCTTCAATTGTTTTTTGTTTGGCTTCGCCTGGTTCGTGCGAGTCGGCGCCCGGGATATTGCAACTAGATGTTGTTGGTCGGGACATGATGACGCGATTGCTGGATGCATCGCTTATGTACTCAATTTGCTTTCACGGAAACGGAGTGTTTTGCACTCTCAATGTATAACTTGACATTCTACTTTTCACGATCTGCCTTCTCCAACTGAAAGCTTGTGCCTCATGTGTCTTGTTCCTGAGCGATTATGATCTGCAGAGGCGGATAAATGTGCGGTCTTGTCAGCTTCCCCTCTTTCTCACGTCGATTGATGCGGGGTTACAGGCGATCGACGGACTTTGTCTATACATGAACGAGTACACAGTAGTTGCACGGCAGCAGCCACATTGACGCCCTTGATGGCACATGTCCAGGGACGGTCCAATCGAGTCGAGGGATGGCGCCTGTTATGATGAATCTGGCGGCAAGCATCTCGAGCCCCCTTTTGTCTGGAATGCATCTGTTTTACCACCACGAGCCACGGTGTTTCTACTTCGAGGGGCTTCTATTGTCGGGACTTGAAAAGCCCGGAGAGTGAGGGACGAGGGGATGTGTGGAGCGTTGCTACGGCCGTGGTTTATCTGGGCTGCACCAATGCAACCAACCACGTTTCATCTCGTATTGTTCTCGGGTATGGTGACTAACAGTATGCACGTATCTGGCATGGCTAAGAGAGAAGAGAAGCCGATGATGCATGTATACATCGACAACCACACAGGGTAACGAAATCACCAAGACAAAGACGAGACTATCGGACAAACTCGACTCTTCATCAACGTGGCGTTCTCTTCCACATGTGCTTATATACATAAACCGGGTCTAAACAATGCACAGTGCATACAGCTTTTGGAGACAATACATGAATAATTAGCTGCTTCTGAAATGTCTAGGTCGCGGCTGGGCGAACGGCGAAACTGGGAACTTGGAGTACTGAATCCTTCGTTCCGTACCAGCCCTAGGTATCTCAGGCACTCCATATCGACACGACTATTAGGGCCGTACCAGTGTTACACAGACGGCGATATAGCCTCTTCTCGGTCATGTCGCGACAACGAGTCAGAACGATGTTGTTCGACTTGGAGGCGTAATCATATAACCAGCTGCAAACATGTTTATACATTATCCAATATATCCGCAAATAGGATATGCAGTCATCCACCTCGTAAAAGACAAGAAATAGCGAAAATGCTACAGCCGTGATGGAAAGGACTCAGCGATGCCAAAGACATGGGCTGGGACCCGGCGACCCGTCGCTGCCTCCGGACGCTCAAGAGCGATAGTGATGGTGGCGATGGTGATGGGACCACACTCTATCGCTCCCAAGTAGCATCTTCTTCGCTAGTCCCACACAGAGCAGTTGGGGGGCTGAGACTTGGTGTATGTAGAACTTCCCTTTCTGCTCTCCATCTTGGCGGCAATTTCGTCGTCAACTACCTGTGACCAATGCCGATGATGCGGCTCCATGGGGGTTAATCTATCGAGACTTGGCTTCCCATGTATCGACTGTGCCGACTGTCATGTTCTCTGGCTTGTTAATGCGAGCGCCTTGGGTTGGTATGGGTATTGGATGAATTTACCCCGTCACTGTACGGGCGACCACTACGATTGGAAAAAAGACCCGGCGGATGGGTTTACTTCTATGTTGTCCTCGGCTGGTTGAGCAGTGTGCTATCAGTCCTGCGTGTTTGGCTCGGGACTGTTGTCCTAGGGAGCATTCGCTTTGTGACACTGCCCGACATGTTGGCCGTGGTCTAAGCGCTTGTCAGCTGCGCTCTGCTATCGAGAATAGTCCTGGCATTCGAAGTGCACGGTAGAAGACAGGTCTCGTCCGGAGATGTTTCTGGATATTGTAGCGTGGCTCCCGGGACGCCGAGGGAGGTGAAATGAGATGCCGGAGGTGGGGCCGGGGGACTAGAGCCGATGCGACTCGAATTGATCTTTTCGGGGGCGGCAACAACAACACGGAGACCGGCCAAGACCTCGCGGTGGAAAAAAAAGAGCGCAGCTGATTTTGTGTTTGTGAGTAGCCAGCCTCATTTCTGGAGGTTATTTGTACATGTAGACACGGCAGCTCAATGTGTTTGGTGCTGAAGGCTGCTCTATGTACAGGTATGTATGGTCGGTATGATTGATGCTAGGGAGATTGATGCTCTTGGACATGCCGCTCCGTGGTGTTGCCTTGTAATATCCCGCCCCCTTCCACTGAGAGCATTGCTAATGACGAGATATGACTCTGACAAGAGTACAAGTAAGCGCTCCCCTTGCTTTATAACGGCAGGGTCTTCAAGCATCCGGGCTGACAATAATTTGTCGACTTGGTTGTATCAAGGTACTCGTACCCGACCACGTGGTACGTCACCACCCGCCCAAGCACCGGGTCACTCACCCAGAACCCACATTCCAATCACTGCATCTCGAAGATTTTGTTCACATTGGATATCAGGAAAAATATTGGTGTATGGGCTTTAATTTCGCGCGCGATTATTGCCCTTTTGAATCTCGAGATGCGTGCTCGTATCAGTCATCGGCGGGTTCCAATAAACTTACCTACCTGTACCTACCTGTAGTAACCTACGAGTACATGTACATGTACCCATTCAAGCAAGCTGAGCGGGTCGCTGGCCCGGGACGCGCAGACTTCTGGCGAGATTCCCGGCCGAAACGTGCCCCTGGGCCTGGAACATGGAAGCAAAAAAACTGCTTACGCAAAGCCAACTGGTTCATACCTAGTTTTTTTTTTTTTGTCTCGGCACATTGTTGTTCCCTGGGGGGCCAAAGAAAAGAAAAGAAATAATAATAATAATAATAAACTAGGGGACGTTGGATGGAAAGAGTACCTAGGTCAAAAAAAAGGGTACATGTAATTGTGGCGAGCTGGGAGACGCAACGCATTTTCCCTAGCTCGGAAGCGGGACGCGCAATGCTTTCGACGGCTTGCAACGTCAGCAAACGCAAAAGGCTTCGACCCTTTTTTTTTTGCCTTGCTCAGGTGGGCAGCGCGCTTGATAAAATGGCGATGGAAAAAACTTTTGTTGGGCGTGGCTTGCTTTACCAGATGATTTTCTTTGGATTCGGATCGGGGCTTCTTTTCTTTCAAGGATTGGCCAAGCTTAAACGTGTACCCTATCCCGTCCATCTACTAGTTATACATATCCATCCCCCCTTGGTGGACCGGGCTGGTGATGCGTCTTATACAACGACGCCTACCTACATATACACATTCCTCCACTTCACCGTTCCCCTCTATTCTTCTGCTTTTCCCTGTTGCACAGCCATGATCAGATTCAGACATGCCGCCTCCGCCTGGCTGTCCTGAAACCCTTGGGATACCAGAGACAGGCCACGCTTCCCCCTCCTCGTATACGCTCGTCAAGCCGCCGCCGCCCCCGTTTCCCGCCTGCTTCTCCTCCTCGCAGCAGCAGGCCAGGAACATCGAGGTCCAGCTGCCGCCCCTGGTCGCGGGGGCTCTAGTTGCCGCGTTTGCCAAGGCCCTGGCCGATGGCTTGAACAATGAGCTGCTAGCCCACTACTATTTCCCAGATCGGAGGGTGAGGGTCAACCTGGATCGAGTGCTGGACCGGCTCTTGTCGGTGTTTGTCAGGCAGCTGTGGGATGAGCTGTTCCGGTTCTACACCGACTCTGATCACGGCTCCGGAAGCCAGCATTCTCGTCAGGTTACTCTGTTGTTCGATGGTCCGATCCGCCAGCTCGTGCTTATACTCAACGGCCCCGAGACGGCCAGATGCATCCTCGATAAGCTCGGCCCGGGATTGTCGAGAAGGCCCCTGACGTGGTCGACCAACACCAAGGGAATCGACTTCCCGCTGGCTCTGCAGCTGCTGTGTGGCTACTGGCATCGCGAGTTTCCCGAACAGTCGCCGGGAGGATCGCCGGATCAGATCGCCCGCGCGCTTCACACGCTTATAACCACCGGGGATGCTGCCAGAGAACTCATCGATGAGATGAAAAAGGTGCTTCTGTCTCCACACTATGTCCAGATTCACTTTGCCGAGTCGGCCATCTGGGATGTTGTGCTGAGAAGACCCGGCCCTCCTCCGCCCGACGGCTTCCACATCGTTCAGCTCAAGTTCGAATGCCAACTGTTCAACCCGCTGGGTGGCTTTGGCGACCTATCCAATACCCGTCTCGCGTCTCTCCCCGTGGTGACAGGCACCGCCGCCGAGCATGTCTGCACAACTGTATCCGAGTACGTCGAGAAGCAGTGGCCGAGAAGCGGACCCGTCGTGTTGAGCTGTCTTCAAGATGCGTTTACCAGCGCGGCATCCTCCCTCCAACAAGGAGACGCATTCTCCGGCATGTCTCTCTGGGACGGCAGCGATGGTAAAGGCGCGCTTTTGCCGAGCTTGAGATTCGTCCACATCGAGACGGAGGGCTCGTGGATCAGGATGAGCCTGAGCGCCAGGCTTCATACCCTCGGCGACGTCTTCCAGCAAATGTCCTGGCTTTGTGCGGCCTTGAGTTCCTCGCCGTTTCCGGGAGTGGTGGCGGAGAGCATGACGGAGGTGTCGAATTGGGTTTACTTGGATGAGAATGTCTACATTGACTGTGGTTTGAACCACATTCCTATTCCTGGGAGCGACACTTTGCAGCACCTGCCGCGTACTGCGATTGCGAGCGGCTTCCCTTTGCATCGAGGATCGGTGGAGGTGTAGTTGGGATATTGCATAGCGTTTTGGTACGCAACTTATGTTGGGAAGCATTGTATATATAAAGGGAGAGCAAGAAATGGTATTCTCTAGATATTAGTTTACAATGATACCCCCTGATTTTTTTTCTTAAAAAAATAAATCATCTCAAGGCTCATATAATCCTCGTGCTCGCTGCCCTGTGAGAAGCTCTGCCTCGCCATCCTCTTTGACCAGGTAGATATCCTCGTGTCTGACACCAAATCTGTTTTCTAGATAGATGCCCGGCTCGTTGGTGAATGTCATTCCCGGCCGGAGCAGCGAAGCAGTGTTCCATTTGTTCAAATACGGAGACTCGTGTGCCTTGATGCCAATGCCGTGACCCAGGCGGTGCGTAAACCCGTATCCATACCCGGCATCTTCAATGACACCACGAGCCGCAATGTCGACGCTGGCAGCCGTGTTGTTAGGCCTCATGGCCTTGGCGGCGGCCGTCTGCGCGTCCAGGACGATGCGCCAGACATTCTCCTTTTCGCCGCGCAAGGGGTCGGAGTGCGTCGTCCTCCGCGGCGGCGCGTCAATCATGAAGCTGCGGCAAATGTCAGACGAGTAGCCGAGGTAGTGCGCGCCGACGTCGATGACGACCATGGTGTCGTACGTCAGCTCCTTGCCGCCGGTGACGAAGCCGCCGTGCGGGAGGGCGCCGTGCTCCTCGAAGAGGACAATGTTGAAGAAGAGGCCGAAGCCGATGGAGAGCATGGTCTGGTCCAGGACGGCGGTGACCTCGTTCTCCGTCAGGCCGGGGACGAGACACGGCCGCATGGCCCGCACGGCGGCCACGGTGCCGGTGTTTACGGCCCGGAGGAGCTCGACCTCGGCGGGCGTCTTGAGCTGCCTGACGAGCTCTGCTTCGGGGCTGAGGCCGACGGTGCGGAAGCCAGCGGCGCCGAGGCCGCGGACGATGTAGTCGCGGATTTCCTCGTCGGCCATGAGCGTCGGGGCCTGTTTGCCGCTGAAGAGCCTCGACTGGAGGAGCGTCGTGTACGGGTTCCAGTGCTCTTCCCAGATGACAATGTCCAGCTCTTCATCACTCGACGGGATGCCCAGCATGCGAACGCGGCCCTCTTCGAAATGCGGCGACAGAAACGCCGTCTTTGCGGAAACGCTGCCGTCGTCGGAGGTCTGCGGCATGATGAGCATGAGGAACGGCCGCTCCTCGGGCTCCCAGGGCTCCCAGTCCTGCTGCGAGATGTTGCCGTAGTACTGGAACGTGTAGCCCGGCTCAAGGACGAAGGCGTCGACGTTGTTGGCGGCGAGGGCCCGCGCGAGACGGTCTCTGCGGAGGAGGAACTCGGCGGGCTGGATGGGCTGGGCGGGATCCAAGAAGGAGAGGTCTGACTTGAAGTTGTCGATGGAGCATTGCTGGACGTGGGCGACGCTGGGGCGGCGATGGTGGGAGGTGCAGAGGGAGAAGGGGGTGTTGTGGGCGTTTTTGAGGAGGAGGAGGGCTGTGAGGAAGAGGATGGTGGAGATGGAGATGCGGAATCGTTTGGAGGATGTAGATCTGCGTTGTGATGGCGATGTTTCTGTCTGTGATAGTTGTGGTGATGTTGTTGTTGGAAGGGAGACGCCCTTTTCATCTTTGATGAAGTGGTAATCCATCATGTCTCATCAGAGTCCTGTCCTCCCAACAGGCACAGAGAGCTGAATCTTACGATAGCAATGTTGTTTGTAAGAGAGTCAAAAGTTTGAACTCAACCTGGACACACGCAGCCAGCTCCCGAGTTGTAGTTGACAATTACCTTACCCAAGCAAGCAAAGCATGCAGAATATCAACGTCTCTGCTGCGACACCGGAGATTTACAGACAAAGATATGTATCAAATCGCATCCGACCTTAAAGATGACCAACTCCAGATAAAGGCATGATCGTCTCGGGGAACTTGTACTCGGTTTGATTCGTCGGCTAATAGGCTGAAAGGTGTTTGTTTGTCTTGAACAAGAACCAGATTAACGTTGTAGGGGCATGACGTATCCCCTGTAGAGCTGTGAATTGATAGGCTGGGCTGAATTCAATGTTGCTTGATGTAGACTCTTGCGTGGGGAGCTTTTCCTAGTTGCTTTTGTTCGTATCGTATCGGACGCGGGAATGGCTGCAATCTGGGATGCTTTGGTTTGGTTTCATCTTGTCCCCCACTTTGGATGTCAGAACAGCTTTCTTTTAGTTGCAAGCCATGGATCGGCCAACTGGATTAGGAAAGCATTCAGATATAACATGGGATTGGCGCTGCAATCTTCTTCCCCACAAGACATGAAGAGAAGGGCTCATGGTTGAGCATGAATAAGAGGCTTGGCCACGCTAATTCTCCTAGCCATCATCACTAGACACGGAGAGTGTCAGTTGGAGAGCGTTATCTGACATCCAAGCACTCGTGTCTTGTGCCGATCTCTTCGTTGATTAACCGGATAGCGTCTCAAGGCCAGTGGCCTGTATGTGCCGCCAAGATAATGTCTGCGAGAGAAGAATACCAAAAAGGAGGAGAGAGGACGGCGCATGTAAATGCAACCCTACATGCAGCCTCCCTCCTCCGCAATCCCTCTTTGTGTAAGTTGTGCTCGCGTGCACACGGATCGACACAAACCTACGTGAAGCTGAAGGATCTCATGTGCCAATATTAATCGACAACTGCCCATCATGACTGCTGGATCAGGGGAGATGGAGGCTCCAAAGCTGGAAAATACATCTCCCGACTCCAAGATTGAAACTGCGGGCGAGCCGGTGGCCGCAGAGATCACTCGAGATGAGGAGCTGCCTGAAAAAAGCAAAGAAGACGTCGACGTTGAAGCGGGGAGCATAGCAGAGTCAGTCAAGGGATACTACAGCAAGCTCTCGGTTTGGTTGATGGTTCTCTTCTCAGGCCTGGCCATTGGATCAGACGGCTAGTAAGTCACAGTCCTTCTTCTCGTGGTATCTACATGTAATAGAAGCTCACTGTCTAATCTCATCTCATCATATGTAGCAATGCCGCCGTCATAGGCAACGTCGAACTTCTTCTCGGCGCCATCTACCCAGATGACCTAACCGACTCCATCTACTCGCGCCTCAGCAACGCCTTTCTCATCGGCATGATCATCGGCATGCTCTTCTTCGGCGTCATCGTCGACCAGCTGGGCCGCAAGACGGGCGCCGTGGCCACCACCATCCTCCTCGTCCTCGGCATCGCAATGTCCACCGCCGCCAACGGCACCTCTCCCAAGGGCCTCTTCTGGATGCTCATCGTCGCCCGAGGCGTTGCCGGCGTCGGGGCCGGAGGCGAGTATCCCGTGTCCGGCGCCGGCGCCGTGGAAGCCACCGACGAGAGCGGCCAGTACCGCAAGCACCGCGGCTTCATGTTTGCCATGCTGGCCGATCTTTCTTCTTCTCTCGGCTATGTCTGGGGCGGGCTGGTTCCTCTCCTTTTGCTGCTCTGCGTTGGCCAGAGGGAGGACAAGTACTACATCGTCTGGCGAACCTCTTTTGCCCTCGGTGCGATCCCTCCGCTGGGCATCTTTTGGTTCCGCATGCGCATGGCCGTTGCTACGGCCTACCGCAAGTCTGCCATGAGAAAGCAGCGGGTGCCGTACTGGCTGGCTCTGAAGCGGTATTACCGGCCTCTCATAGGAGCTGCGGCCAGTTGGTTCCTGTACAATTGGATTTCGATCCCGTTTGGAATCTTCAGCTCAACCATCATCAGCCGTGCCAACGTTGGGCAGAGTCTTGTCAAGAATCTTGGGTGGGGAGTTGTCATCAACTGCTTCTACATCCCGGGCCCCTTTTTGGGCGGTTATCTGTCTGATAAAATCGGCAGACGACAGACGATGGCTCTGGGATTTGCCATGCAGGCAGTACTCGGGTTCATCCTGGGCGGTGCAATTGGCCCTATCCAGACAGTCTTTCCTCTGTTTGTCGTGCTCTACGGTGTTTTCTTGACGCTCGGTGAGGTAGGACCTGGAAGGTATGTATTATCATCAGCCTTGCTATCTTTGCAACTCGCAGTCGACTAACGTTCTCAAAACTCACAGCACCGTCGTCCTGACAGCCTCGGAATGCTTCCCCACGTCCATCCGCGGCCAGATGATGGGCTTCATCAGCGCCTGGTCAAAAGCCGGTGCTGCGATTGGGACCCAAGTATTCACGGCCATCCTCAACAAGTACGCGAGCAACCCGGACAAGGGAAACCAGGTGGCTTTCCTCATCGGATCGGCGTTTGCCGTGCTGGGTGCCCTCGTGGCGTACTTTGTCATCCCTGACGTGTCGCGGCGGCTGGACGACGATGACGCGGCGTGGAAGGTTTACTTGGCTGATCATGGATGGGATGCGACGTGGGGAGATGGAGAGACGATGGATCCTGCGGGAGTGATTTTGGATCGCCAGGCGGATTGAGGGTGTTTTGCTTGAGGCTGGATTTGAGATTCAAGGTCTGGGTTTGAGATATCCCGACACTCTTCGGTAGAACACATAATTCGAAGAATGATTTAGGTTGAATATGTGAATTACTCATGTCTATTATTAAAGAAGGGTATTTAAGAGAAAAAGATTACTGAATATCTATAACTGATAACTGCTGTTTTGAGGAAATGAGGATTCAGTGCACAGGGTCAACTTAGACAATGAGTTGAAACAAAGATGTTACCATTAATACAAAGGCTTAAAGACAAAAGCTCGATAACTGCAAATTCCGTAACGTACAGCGTAATATTGATGCAGAAAAAGTGCTATGTGTTATATGCTCGTAACAGTAAACAAACGCGCAACCCCATTCACCTGCGTCAACCTCTTGTTCACTCTCCGCTCACTTTCATTACCCCCCCCACAAGTAGATTACAAACGGAGAGAAAGGTTAAAGAAAATAAGAGAGGCCAAAACCGAAATCTATATTGATTTTCTCTTTTTTATCTCTGGATAAATTTTGGGGGGTTGCCATATCTAGTTCAACTTTGCTTCGCTCGCTCAACATCTTCCAAACCGCCCCCCTCAAAAACAAAGCCTCACCGTTAACGAAACTCCATGCGGTTGCTTAACTTTGACGAGAAAAATGCCCCCTGAGATTACTCTACGCCACTTGCCTGGGAGAAAACAACGCCCTTTTTGGCCATACCTCGACCCAGACATCGGCTCCAGCGATGAAAACTCATCTGTTCCCACCACTTCTACCGAGAAAAAGATGCGGCAGCCTAAACCAAAAGACGAAAAAAATGCTTTAAAGGAAATGGATAGCTCATATGAAGGCTTCGAGGACTTGTTTGAGATTCCAGAAGTTGTTCCTCAAAAGACCCTCGGCGAAAAGGCCGCCGCCTCAGGCTCGCAAAAGCGCGCCTCGTCAGAGACTCAAGCCAGCAGCCCATATTCCGCTCAATATCCAGTATCTCGTCAAGTCTTTGACCTCGAGAAGAAAGCCCAAGAATTGCAGGAAAAACGCGACTACTTCCAGAACCAGTGCAATGAACTCACCTTGACCCTGGAACGATTAAATAAAGCAACGAAGAAGGAGAGATCTGTCTACCAAGCAAAGTGCACCAGCCTCAAGGCCGCCAACGACGACTTGGCAAAACAGCTCGAGGAAGAAAAAGACAAAGTCGAACAACTCCAATGCGAAAACGAGAGCCTTGTCAAGGACCTCGCCGCCGCGACCGAAAGAAAGGACTTCTTCGCCAAGATGCTCGAGGAAAAGGCCTACGAGTCGTGGATATTCCGCTGCGCCCTCGCCGTCGTGTTTAAATCTACCCCGTCCACTCGAGAGCGCGTCTCGATGCGAAAAGTCATCTGTGACTGTTTCGCTGCCCTCAAGCAGAAATACCAGCAAGACCGCGGTCTCCAGCAGGGAGACCAAGTCCCAGACCAGAACAATAGCAGCCGCGTTTCCGAGGAAGCTGAACCATCTTTGTAGCAAGAAGAAGGCCCATCTCTCTCTGGCGCTGAAGACTTGTATTCGGATTCAGAAGAAACGCCCCTGAGAAAGATAGCAGCGAAGAAGAAGAGATCGCGGGCGACGGGGGAACGGGAGAGCCGAGTTTCGAGCGACGACTCGGAAGAAAAACCCCTGAAAAAGCAAGCACCGCCGAAGAAGAGAGCACGCGTGCCGGAGAAAAAGGACAATCGAGTTTCAAAGGATGACTCGGACGACGACGACCAGCCTCTGTTTAGTGTCCTAAAGAAGAGAGCCAAGAAGCTCAAGATCATGCCGTCTCGCGAGAAGTCGTCATCCTTTGACTGAGGTACTTTCCTTCGTCTTACCTGTTGGATACCAAGCGTTGGTATGCATCTTCACGAGCAGATTGCTGTACCTTGGATGCCAGCAAGGAATGGATCAACTACTTGTTTCGATGATATATAGTGAAAACTGGGTGATACTATAACTGTTTGTTCATAATTCATTATTTCTTAATGGTGAAGCCGAGATGTAACTCGGCATCAAACTATTTTAGCTTGTCTGTGCTGTAAAAGAAAGGGCAAAGGGGGCCAAAAGAAGCTATTTGCCAAGGGCCATCGATCTTTTTGCCGCATCCAGTGTTAAAAAAACAGAACATTGAGTAGAGCGGAAATGAGAAAGGAAAAACCAAACGAAAAGCTCAACCAATTTTGAGAATCAACGCGAGAATCTCGCTAATAAGCTCCGGAACGCCAATAATATCTTCCACGCAGTACCAGCAGAGCCCAAATCTCCCATACCTAGTATACCCGTCCGTCTTGCCAATATAATCTAGTCGTTTATAGTCGATGATTATAGTCGATGATTATAGTCGACGATTACCCCTGGGTGTCGTTCCCTGGTCGTCCGCTTGCCGCGCTCTCGCCCACCTTGACCTCCTCGTCAGGAACTCCAATGCTTACTCCGCCAGCTAAGCTTGTGGTGCTTTGCCTGGCTCGCTCGCGATCTCGACCGTGGCCATAGATGCTCTCTCTCGGGCCCGCGATACTAACGCCGCCGCCCGGCGCAACGCTCGCACTTGCTGTTGTGCTCGCGCTGTCGCTCCTGTTCCTGCTCGCATCACTCGATCGCCTCTCTCGGACGAGCCTCTCCAGTTCTCGGATACGCCTCTTGAGGGTCTCGTTCTCCTTCTTTGCGTTATCTAGTTCCTGTCGATAAAAGGCCGTCTCTTCGTACCGCAAAGTTGCGGGCATTAGGCCGGGGCTCATCTGGTCACCCAGAACGGAGCTACCGGGAGTAGCCACCACGGAGCTCATCATGACGGAGCTAGCAGCGGCAGGGTTCCTCTGCTGATGAAAATACGTCGAGGGATCTATGGAACTGGGTGGCGCGGGCGACCCAGTCTGGCTTCTGCGAGAAGCACTGCTGTTCTGTCGTGAAAGCGATGCGGGATGGGATGTCCGAGCTCGGGCTTCGTACGACGAGGCAAAGTTGGGGAAAGTCTGGGATGTAGAAGACGAGGTTCTATGGTGGCGGCGAGAGGTAGGAATCGAGAATCCGGAGCCGGACAAGAGCGACGACTCGACGATGGGGTCGTGGGAAGAAGTAGCGTTCGACGTCGACGAGGCGTTTGAAACAACCGACGCATTATGGGCGGCCCGAAGCATCGAGAGCTCGCGAGTCAGACGATTTACCTGCCGATGGTCAGTCGATGGTTGCGCCACGGCTGTATCACATCACCATCACGGGCTACATACCACTGCCTCCTGCTCCTTTTCCAGCTGCATGTGAAGCTCAGAAGCCGTCAGCGGCCGCGGGTGCCGCAGAGGTCCCGGGCCTGGCCCGACGGCGGCATCGGCTGAGCCCATGGGCGACTGAGGAGGGGGGAAGCCGGGAGAGGGGAGAGCCTGCGAGGGAACGTGCTGGTTGACGGCGGCCTGGTTGGAAGGCAGGATGTTGACAGACGCAGAGGGCGGCGATGAAGCGGATTGCAGGTTGGCCGACTGACGACGAGAAGCTGTGCCGCTGGCCAGGACGTGAGGCGAGGGGGGCACCGAGTTCAGATCTGGCATCTTTGCTTTTGTAACGGATCGCACCCTTTTTTTTTCCCTTTCTTTTTTCTTCTTCTCTTTCTCTTGTCTTGTTCCCTTATCGCTTCCCTTTTTTGCTCCCACTGTTGGCCGGATCTTTACGCGGTTTTTAATCTCGTTCCACGTTCCCTTTGCGGACGGCGGTGGCTGTTCGGGTTCGGCAGGGCTTCTGTCGGCGCAGAGACAAAAAAAGACGGCAAACGAGATTGAAGATGCGGTGTGTCGTTGAAAGCGTCCGGGCAAGGTTGAGACAAGAGAGACGTGCTCCCCGAGGTCACCAGATTTGTCGATACGGGCCAGGCACCCCCTTCGGTGGGAGGAGCGGCACGATTAGGTGCGGGGTGAGTGGAAATGTGGTGGCCGCGGGCACTAAAAAGTTACCCGACCAGCCCACTGACGGCGGTGCTTTTAGGGGTTCAGGTAGCCCGTGTGTTTGTCTGCATTAACGCTGAGGGGGGACGAGCAGCCTCCATAAGCTGGACAGACACTACTGTACTAAGGTTTCCATGATTGTTCCAGTCGCATTGATGAGAATGAGCTCCGTTGCGGCTTGACGAGTGCGCTCTATCGGTACCAAGTATTCCATGCGTGTAAAGTAGACGGCTGGAAGGCTGCGGTTCTGAAACTGATACGTGGCTCATCTGCTAATACCACCCAACATGCTCTTTAGGTCAGGTAGTATCAATGACATCGAAAGATGACTTGAGCTCTTTGTGCAACCTGTCCTTGTCATTTTGATGTTAGCTCCTTCTTGTACTCACCAAGTCCTCCGTCAATCCCATGTGCGATATTCCTTCTCAAGCTTATCGCAGCCTCGCATCTTATGCAGCATAAAAACCACAGGAGCACATACGCCCACCTGTGGGGTTGTAAACCAGGGGCTCGCGTTCGGTCGAGAAATTGTCTAATAACACCAACTCCTTACCTCGACAACTGAGACACGCATTGCATCGCCGTGCACCCAGACTATCCCATGACGTCTTCTTGTCTCGATTGATAACGATAATAATTGAAACTGGCTGGCACGAGATGAGCCCCATTCTATCAAACCAGTGATATCGTAGACATGTGCTAAAGAAGTGTTTGCCAGAGGATTGCCGTGATGCGGACTTGTGCTCCGTATAAGTTGTGGGCGACAGTTATCAACGTGACTTGGGACCATCAAAATGACCACAACAAGGAAAGCAACGAAGAGGCCCAATAAACTAGGAAAACTAACAATGCTCCATATTTGATTGTCGCATATCCAGAACGATGAGCTACGTGTATTCTCTTATCCGTCTCATCTGTCTGCGACATCAACATGATGCAATCGCCCGCCAATGACGGCTCTGACGTCAACGCCATCTACCGCATCGGTGCGTAATACATTTAAACAGCGGGAATCTAAGCAATCCAACTTTCTACTCTTCTCTTCAAGCACAACATTGTTTCGAAACCAGTCCAGCAGCTCCAAAAAGAACCTTCATTCACCAATTTCATCAACTGCATCACCAAATCGCCATGCCTGAGGGACGTCAATCTCCTCCTCCCGAGCGCCAAAGCGCTGCCCAAATAGGGAACACTGGATCCGGCAAAGCCTCAGATGTCAGCAAGACCAGCCAGAAGGACCCAAAGTCCCAACTTGATGTGAGTAATTCATGATTCAATTCATTTACACGCATAAACCATCTCTAACCAAAGCTTGTGACAGTGTCTCACGTCGAACCCCAAGGGGCCGATGGACGATGTGCTTAAACACAAGTTCTCCAGGGAGCCTGGAAACTGTGAGCGCTAATTAGAGCGACTCGTATCCCGCAGTTCGCGACTAATCATTGTCATAGACACTCCGTTGAACGCTTAGTTTCGGGGAATAAATTGGCATCGTGTACAATAAGTCATTCATAGCATCAATCATTGCATCGCTATACTATACTATCCTTTGCCCGTGATTTGAAACCGTAAAAACTCGTTGAAGAAATTATCTGAACGGATCATAAGAGGAAGATGACTAATAATTTTCACATCTTGCAACAACACAACTCCATAGCAATTCCTTGGTTCTCGTTCGTTTAACCGCTCTTGGCATCAGTAGAGGGGGCTCCGGGAGCGGGAGCGGGAGCAGCAGTTCCAGGGATCACGGGGGCGTCGGCGGGAGCGTCGGCGGGAGCATCGGCCGCCGCAGGCTTCTCCTCCTTCTTCTCCTTGCCAAAGACCTTTTCAAAGCCAGCCGCCTTGTACGCACTGCCGCCATGCTCCTCCGTCTTCAAGTCAGCCAACCGCCGAGCCTCGCTGTGAATATCCTGCACCTGTCTTGAGCCGTCGAGGTAGAACTGCGCAATCTTCTTGCCGGTAGGCGTGTTGCTGGCCTTCTCAAAGTAGCTGCTCAGGCCGGTGAAGAAGTTGTTGGCGCGCTGGGAGATGCCGTAGCTCTGGTCGGCCGTCTTGGCGCGGTCGGTGGCCTGGTACTTCTTGTCCAGGTCCTGCAGGGTGCTGAGGAATCGCGACGAGACGCCGTGCTTGTGGTCCAGCTCAATGGCGCGCTGGATGGTTGCGTCACCGACGACGTAGCCGTGTGCGAGGTACTCGGCGAGGATGCGGGTGCGGGGCTTCATCTCCTGGGTAATCTCATCGTTGCTGTTGCCCTGTCGAGCAAAGTGCGAGCCATCGTCCTCGGAGTCGCCTGAGGCGCTCGTCACCTTGATGTGGTTGGGGCCGAGTTGTGTGTTGTTCAGGAGCAGCGCCGTCTTCATGGCTGTCTCCTTCTCAAAGGTAACCTCTGCGCTCTTCGTCTCGCCCTCGGTGGTGACCTTGATGTCGGTGATTTTGCCGCTATGAGACAGTTAGCTTGGGCTCGCAGAATCAGAGTTTAGTGCTGCAGGTGGACGAACCAGAAGCTGAAGAAGTCCTTAACTTCAGCATCGCCAGTCGCGGCGGCAATGTTCTCGACGTGAACTGTGGAAGTCATCGTTGCTGGTGGTGAGGATAGTGGTTTGGTAGTGTAGCGTAGCTATATCGTCGTGCTTCGAGGGTTTCGGGAGGAGAGACGGAATAGATGACTCCAAGGTGGTAGAAGAGCAGAAACGTGGCGATTTATGTAATTCCTGCTTTGGGCTACGGATCGTGGCTTCAGTAGCTGGACGCGCAATTTAGTATCGCAACACCTCGTGGAGAGCTTGATTGAGGGGTGTCGGCGGGGCAGATGTGCGACGTCATCATGAAGAAGGGGGTGAGGCTAGAGCGAACATGTGGCGGTGCAGTCGCCGTGCTTTTGATGCTACGGAGCAAAAGGCCCCTATCAATATCGCTGTGGCTCAGCAGAGGCTGGATGGATGACGTCTTCTGTTTCCCTGAGCATGTGAAAGAACGTGTTGGATCATTCATATCCTTTGTTTCTTTCTTTACATCTTGTTTGTTTGCTCGGTGGTACCATGGCATGCATGGCATCCAGTGTCAAGGCACGGGTCCACAAAGACAAGGCAGTTCTCACAGCACATGCAAGCTGGCTGCGAGTGGAGAGAGGCTGGGATTGAAAGAAGCGAGGTAGCCAGAATGCTACTTGAACTGCAGGGAAACTGCCGTGTAACGCAAGGTACCTACATGTTCATTGGAGAGTGTTGGCATGCAAGCCCTCCAATCACAACAACAGATCAGAGCATCTCTGCTAGTCTGGACAAGACAAGACAAGCCACGGAGAAGCTAGCCGAGCGGGAAGACGAAACTCGTCTGGCGGCGACCTTGCGCTAGCTATTGCTTAGTTGCGCCACAGTCTTTTGATGCTTGTGATTGCTCAGATTGATGCTTGTGATGGAAGCTTTGTTCTCCAATTTCCTGGACCTTTTAAAATAGGTTAGTACTTCTATTTGCTGTCTGTACAAGAGATTCCATCCCTTGAGCGTGAAAGGAACAAGCTCCATGCCACCTGCCATGTTGATAATCAGTTGCGAATTTATCGTCAATATCACGTGAATGACTGACTCTCTACCTGAAACGTCGCCCTGGGCTGTTTGTCTCTCCACCACTCCTCACTGTCAAATATCCAGGTGAAGATGATTCGACGTGCATGCATCATCTTGACTCTACATTCGGATCATGGCACTGAACCGGCAAATATTCTCTTATCCAGGCGCATCAAGCCTCTCCATATGAAGCGGCCCTGTCTTACCGATAAGCCATGAAACTCCCCGGGTTCAAATAAGTGTTCGAGATAAGGCAGATCCTAATGGGTTTATAACATACAATAAGATCGAAGGACATATGCCAGGACTGAGGTTACAGCACGAGGCTCTCTCCGCGTCCCGCAGGGAACATACCTAATACATCCTTCAGATCTATCCGGCATCAGTCATCCCAAACCATCCAGATTACAGACAAGTCCCACCTTGTTAATCGCCCCATAGCTATCGAGCTCCGCACAGAAGACAAGCATCGAGTATTAAAGCGACTTGGATACGGAGCGGGCTACGGCGATATCTAAGCGAGACCTTGGGCCTAGAGCGTCAACCGCTTAGAATTCTAGGTATCAGACAACTCGAAACACCAATACGGAGTGCGCAGGACAGTACGAAATTCGTCAAATTATGGTTTCTGCATGATCGGAGCCGCGATCTCGAGTGCATGATTCTGGCTGTTTCCATTAGATGTCAAGGGGTCTGTCTCGGCCTGTAAGATGGTGTGTTCATATTCTGGGTAATTTGGAACATGTCTTGCCGCCATCCATTGATGTGGAAATTGCTCCTCACACTGCCAATAACGCCGTTACACCTCCCTGCTTGCGGCTAGTGTCCCTGCCGACTCGGCTATAATGCTTGACCTACTTCAAGGCTCACTGTTACGTACTCACTGCGGCTCATTTCTCAGATTCAACTACCTTCTGGTGCCATGTCATTCCATGGCACACCAAGGGGGGAGAGGAAAGGAATAAAGCGCTTCTTCGCCGGCCGATCTTCACCACCACTGCAAAATGATGATGCTTGTACTGTATGAATCGGCGTCACCGCATTTTCATCGGCTGCCTCAACCCTTGTTAAGCGGCTACATACCCCATAGGGCGCAACAGGGATAACGGGCGGGGGCCGTGAGTTGGACCCTTGGCAAGCTGCATGGCCCAGTAGCAGCAAGATTTTCTAGCCTCTTTACGCACCTACGACGACGAAGAAAAACACCAGCTCTGGATGGAAATGATGAAGCTGGCGAGGGCATCCAGAGGACATCCAGAGGGTATCCAGAGGGCTATAAACTGGGCGCCGAAACATGTCTCTCTTGTCCGGGATGCGGCCCCACCCGTCGGCAGCCGCAAAACGGCTTCATTTCGTCCGTCTCACACACCAAATCTCATTCCCATTGCCCCAAGCAAGATGAGGGTGGCTGCACGTGGGGCTCAGATTTTAAAGGTGACAAGGGCATCCCGTCAATATGGTAAAGGCAAACGGCCAAGAGGAAATTTATCCCCCAACAGAGCAGGAGGGCCAGCAACGCCATAAGACGACCGAAAAGCCACGGTTGCTTCAGCATCCTTCTTTCCTCTCAGCCTCACGACCAACTCCTACATCTTTTCGACCTCCCTCCTCATAGACTGGTTCACCTGTGCAAAGCCTTGTTTCGACGCATTCGTGGTAGCCAACCAATAGTTGCTGCTTGATCAGGCTAGGACAGGGTACGGGAAGCCAGCTTTTACGGCTCACGCGACGCACATATCATAGAGAGGAATCCACTCGAGTGCATACAAACTAGCACTGACTCGACCTCTGCGCCCCGACCGCCGCTCTTGAGAATCTGGAGATTTTTGCATCATATATCAACGTTTGGGCCAGTTTTATGATCAGCATCCGGGCCTTTGATCGTGGGTCTCGATTGTAGCAGGACCGAAAATCGACATCTCGCAGCCGCGAGTATAGTGTTATCTTCAACCGTGTTGTGACCCATTTGCTTGTACTTGGTATGTTTCTACGAACTGGTGAGGTCTTGTCCGATCCTTTGCGATATTTGCCGTTTGCCGCCACCCTCGTGTGCCACTCGTGACCGACCTTTGCGGCGGGGATGTTGAAGTTGGGCTCGAGTTGGGCATGCAGTGATTCGAATATCTCTCAGACCAGACTTGTTTTCCGTTGTCCTTATATTCTTCTCTTCATGACCCATTCTAACCAGGTTGCCCCAGGTCTATTCAACGGAATAAGCAATTAAGTCGCCTCCCTGTGTCTGTCTACACTTTGTTCAAATTCGAATCGATCCACCAAAAAATATCCATCATGGCGCGGGGCATGTCCAGTTACTCCATGTCCAGTTACTCCATGTCTTCGGGCTACTTCAACGGCTACTCCTCCGACTATGAGGAGAAGCTTCTCAACACTGTCTGGATGGGCATTGTCGGATTGGAAGTTTTGATGGTCCTCGGCGTCGCTGTACGCGGCATCTCCAGACGGCTCAGCCCACACCTCAAGCTGCGTTCACGATAGATTCACAATATCCAACCACGATATCAGGACGGCACACATACATACTTCGCACACTTGGCATCACAACGCGGACTACAATCGCACACCTCCGACTCATCAACACAATGTTACAAAAATCCACGATCACACTCTTTAAGCAAACAATTCTTCTGCATCTAAAAAATCTCGACGTTGCAGCATAGCGAGCGAGCGAGCATGGCGGCTTCTTTTTTCTCACCAAAAAAAACATTTTCCTGCAATGGACCGGCGTTTTCAGTGGCATACTTGTTTTTGTCTCTTTTTTCAAAATCTCTTGGGCGACTTTTTTTTTCGTTTTTGTGTGTGTTCAGCGCCATGCATGAGAAAAAGCGAGCGAATTCAAATGGCAGAGCATGGATTTGAATGACTGGGCAAGACGGGATGAATTGCGAAATTTGCTGGATAGGTGATGAGCTTATGAATGATACCTTTTATTTTCTTTCTTCTCACCGCCGTACTTGAAGTTTCTCTCGCTGCGAACTGTGACGTGAAAAAAAACTCTTATAAGGACGATATTCTGCCTCTGTTGACTTATGCCTTGAGAGTAACATCCTCCGTGATTGTTCTTAACGAATGTTTTTTTAAGTATCACGCTCTTACTATGAATGTTCTCGACTATATATGTCTCTCCCTTTATCCTTCGATTCAAGACATAAAGTCAGGTAAACCACCAAAAGATCTCGTTAACATGCGCCCATTTTAAACCCACTATGCCAAAGCAAACAAAACTCAATCACAACCAATTCACCTAAATCCAATCCCCAGTATCATGTAACTCATCGAGAACCAGATACTCAATAAAGAGGCATCGTCCCCTCCGTCTCCGCAAAAGCCCTCTCCAACATATCAAGTCCCTCCTGAATCTGCTCCGCCGTCACCGTAATCGGCGGCGCAATCCGGAACGTGCCCCCAAAGCTCGGATGGCTGCTCAAGTTGGCCCACACGCCCAGGTTGTACGCCGTGTCGCCGATGCTCTTGGCCAGCTCCAGGGCGGGCTCCTTGGTTTCCCGGCTGGCGACGATCTCGATGCCGGCCATGAGGCCGCGGCCGCGCACGTCGCCGATGCAGGCGTAGCGGGACTTTAGCTTCTGGAGGCCGTCGTGGAGGACTTTGCCTGCCTCGCGCGCGTGCTGGACGAGGTTGTCGCGGAAGACGATTTCGAGCACTTTGTCGCCGACGGCGGCGGGGAGGGGGTCGTTGACGTGGGTGGTGTAGAACATGAAGCCCTTTTCGGCGCAGACGCGGTCGATTTCGTCGCTGGTGATGACGGCGCTGAGGGGAAGGCCGTTGCCGAGAGTCTTGGACAGGGTGAGGATATCCGGCACGACGTCCTCGTGGTTGATGGCCATGAAGTCGCCGCATCGTCCGACTCCGGTTTGTGCCTCGTCGACGATGAGGAGCATGCCTCTTGCCTCGCAGTGCTTCTTCATGGCCTTGAGGTATCCGGGGGGGAGAACAAGCATGCCCCCTGAGCTTTGAATGCATTCCACAATGCAGGCGGCAAGGTTGCCAGTGGACTGCAAGTCAATCATTTTCCAGCCGTAATCAAGCTCGGCCTCCCAGTCATAAGATCCATCGGGATTGCGGAACTGAGAGCGGTATGCGTTGGGCGAGGGAAGCATGAACTGGCCGGGGATAGTTGGGCCTTGGCCCTTACGACCGAAGTGGTATTGAGCTCCCAGAGCCTGGGCAGTCATGCCGTGCCAAGAAGCACCAAGGCCAACGATTTCCCATTTGCCAGTGTACACCTTTGCCATCTTAATAGCGGCCTCGTTACTCTCACCACCGGTGGAAAGGAAGAAGGCCTTGTCCAGGCCCTCCGGAAGAGCCTTGCAAAGACGCTCCCCGAGGCTGATAACAGGAGGAGAAACCATGCCCGAGAAGAGATGGTCGAGGTACATGGCGTGGTCGTAAATGGTCTTAACAATCTCGGGGTGTCCATGGCCAAGAAGACAAGACATCTGGCCCGAAGTCCAGTCAAGGATTCTGTGGCCAGAGGCTGTGTAAATGTACATTCCACGAGCCCCGGTGATCACATCATCGTGAAACTTGGTGCCGTAGTTGATCAAGTGTGCCTTGGACTTTTCACGGAGCTGTTTCTCGTCGATTCCGGCGTAGAGTGTAGGGGCAACGTCGAGCTTTCCCGACACGGGGGCCAACAGAGGGCTTTCAGATTCGACTAGAGCTCCCGGAGCCATTGTGAATATTTGTGTAAGTGTGTGAAAACTAAAATGAGAAAACTGTTTGACCCTTTCAAAGGATCAATGGATGTGCAAAGATTGACTGCTCCTGTTGCTTGAAGAAGATAGTGTTGTCAGAACAACTGTTGCGGTTTGTTTGACTGCTTGATGATGATAACTCCAGCTGCACCCGACCTCCAAGGACATTATGGTATTATATACAAAAACAAAAAATCCCATCTCAGCGCTTTTCCCGTCTACTTCCGATATCGTATCGTTGTGGATATCTTCGCAGCGGTGGTTGCTTACTTTCCTAGCTTTGCCGCGGCCAACAAAAGTTTCCCGCGGGAGATAAACTTTGCCCGGCGCTCTCTGACAGCTCCGTATTATTCTGCGGGCCCCCTATTTCTCCATTTTCCCTAACCGAAAACTGGTCCATTGGCTTTCTTTCTTTATTCACCAGGCGTTTTGCAACGGGTCCCATACGCTTGGGAAGATGTGGTCCAGGATCGAGGCGTCAAAGTCCTGGAGGTCCAGGCTGCTATGATTTCCACCTTGCTCGTCTGGCGCCACGCCCGCCAGGATCTTCTCCACAATCTCGGCATGTTGGGCAAGGCAGATGTCGCCCAAATCCCACTTGTACTGCTCCTGATGTGATCGGAGTGTGGTGATTATGTCGCGGGCAATCCTGAACGAGGGGCTTTGGGCCAGTCCCTCGGGAGAGTTCTCAGTCTCCAGCGCGCACCGCAACAAGAAGTTGACTGCGGCCGGGAAGGAAAAGGAGCTGACGGACATCCAAAAGTCACCGAGGTGCTCTGGCTGAAAGTCTTGAATGAGCATCAGCATCTCCTCAGATGTCATGCGTGCCCCAGAATACCGATTCAACACACCCCCCTCGCTGACATGGTCGCCCTGCTTCTCTGCCTCAAGCTGTATCCTCTGCAATAGCAGTTTGGCAGTTAAATATGCCAGGCGAAGGTTTGCGGCTCCGGTAACATCCAGATGAGATCCTCGCAGGACAATCCGGCGACAGGGTCCCTCTAATGTCTCGACCCATCGATGCAACGCATGCTCGAGATCGGTAGTGGACTGCTTATCTCGCCCAACACAGTATACGTACTGCAGAAATCGGTCAAGCACTTCGCTCAGGGTTACTAGCGAAATGAAGATATTGGTTCTAAGCTCGGATCGCAGGTTACTTCCGTCTGTTAAGCCTTCACTAAGATACTCTAGAGTTGGCGGGGGCACATCATACTGAGACTTTTGGATGTGAGGCGGCGTGCCGTGTGCCAAGCTCGTCCTGCGATTTGGCATTTGTAAGTCAGCTTTCCACATACACACACTCGCGCTCTGTTTCTGGGAACTCGATAGTCGAGCAAATCGTACTTACCATCTGTCATGAACCAGCAGAGCCCACCAAATTTTCATGCGCAAATACTTCTCCGGTAGCGGAATCTGCCACGGAAGAGGGTTATGGTTCAGCCCCAACGAATGTGCCATGGAGACTGCAGATCCGAGAAGCACGCCATTACCTATCAAAGAGGTGGTAGGGCGTCCACCGATATTGAGTACAATTGCTTTGATGATAGACATGCCAGGTGATAGATGAAGCTCAGAGTATACCGCTTCGTTGGCGAGGTTCCAGATGAAGCGACTCTCCGGACACCTGTACCGACTCAAGACTGGGGAGCTTTGCCAGTACACAATGGTATGGGCATACAGGCACGCCAGCAGCGCTGGCGAAATCCGCGTCTTGTCTTCCCGGTATTGACGACGAAATGAGACTTCATCTAGAAGTGGAAGGCAGACATTCACTTTTCTAAAGTATCTACAAGGAAAAGAGAGTCAGCTACGTGGAAGGCGGCAGGCGAAAAGGAAGGACGACGAACTCGTCAATGACGGCCTCGTCATGAGGTTCCAGGAGCTTCTCGATTATCTCCAGCTTTTCCGCTGAGAAACTACGATTCAACTTGAGGCCCACCGGCCGCTTCTGAACCTCTGTGAATAGAACCGGACGCGAACAGCTGGCGGGCTCCGGAATGATCATTCTGGTGCTCCGGGTAGCTCCGGGTATACCCGAGAGATATGTAGACAAAACCTGACTATCATTGGTAGAGGCCGGTCCTACAATGTGTAGATTGAGATGTTGATCATCATCGGAGCCCAAGGCCAGAGTTGATTCTTCTCCTCGCTCTGTCCTCGACATGCCGGAGATGGACCTAGGCGGCACGTCTGGCACTGCCATTGAGCTTTGCCGCCCCATTGACGTGCTTCTCGACCCAATCATGGACGCTGAGGTATTGGCCTTTGCATTTCCGTGGAATGGCGCCACACCTCGTGCAACCCTCAAGGGGCTTGCGCCGGAGGCATCAGGCGACGGCCGAGCTTCCGCTCGACGGCGACGGCGACGAGCAGGTTCCGGAGATTCAGGTGTTTGTGAGTCTCCGGGAAAGTAGCACTCAGTCTGGTGAGCACGACACGTCAGGCACACGGTGGCATCGCCCGCGGTCTGGCATCGTGACTTTCTCCGGCGACAGGGGACACATGCCGGCCGGAGGTGAGACCTATAGGGTCGTCCGCCGCCGCTCTGCTGCTGCTGATTCTCTTGCATAGTCGGCCAGAGTGAGCGAGACCAACGTCTGTCGAAATCTGACAAACCAGAGGCAACACGCTTTGGATTGGTCTTTAGCAGTGGTGGATTATCCTGCAGAGACTTGTAACGCGGCATGCATGTAAGAGGCAGCTTGATGGCAGTTGTCCGCGGCAAAATGTAGAGTTTCCCTGGCGGTCACGCTAGGAAGTAGCGCAGTACTATAGACAGTACGGAGCACGGAGCACTGGGGGCGCTAAAGTGCTATTGAAGCCCAGCTGTTAGAGAGTCAAGGTCAACCAGGCGGTCATAAATAGCACAAAAAACACAGATCTAACCAATTGCCAGTCAGTATTTCACTTTATGGCTAGGTAGGTACTATAGTAATTGTGGTGGCTTATTAGTTTTTTTTTAAACATTAATAAGCAAATCTGGAAGCAGCTTTGCTTAATAAGAGTGCACGTTGCTCGCCTCTTCGCCAGCTCTTTGCAGCATTTTCACCGCTTCAAGGCAGAATCATTGAAGCACACGTGATTCAAAATCACCTATATAGTCCCAACTCTTCTCCTCCAAGCTACGGCCGTTGATCAGTAAAGCATTCTCTTATTTCAGTCTTGAGCACAGTCACTATGGATGACACTTCATATGACGATGATGATCGTCTTTCAACCATCAACCTTACTCCTTCTGAAGCTGATACCGGTACTACCGACGAGTATGGCCTCTCGCATGAGGATGATGATCCTCCAAGTAAGCATGATCAACCTCCACGAGATGATGCTCCAATAGAACAATTCTGATGTGCGGGCAGATGCGCCAGCTACGGCAAATGAGGGAATAGGACCACAAGCTGCCGATGACGACCCATCTGGCGTCCCGGAAGACGAAGACGAATATTCACTCACCGACTCTGACGCAGAAGGGGCACACACGTTCCGTCATGCCGCCCCAGAATATCGATATTGCTTTGCTCGTGTTCATCTCAAATCACGGGAGCGAAAGAGAGCAATAGAAGAACTAAACGCGAGGATTATAGAGCTGGAGGACAGAAATGTAAGACTTGGCCAATCGAGGAACACACCGAGGAAGACTCAAGTGGTGCGTAGCCTCGGGAAGTTTGAAAATCTCAAGCGTCTTTGCTCTTTGACTAACTGGCGGAACAGACTTGGCCAGATCGCATTGGCAGCGAGAGCTGGGAAAGAGTCTACAAGCGCGCGTGCATGGAGGGAAATGCTTCGCCTAACCTCAAAAAAATTCATCCGGATCTAAATCTGAGAAAGCCTACAAACAGAGAGATACAAGCAGATATATTGCAGAACCCCTCGGATCACCAGAAGCCGCGGCCTTCTGATATGCCTGTGGGCAACATCACTAGGGGAAAGCTGCCTAGGAAAATGCCCGATGAGATACAATTCCAGATTCTACGACATTTCTTCGACTTTCGAGGCAAGGTGGTTCATGCCATATCCCGCCTGGACCCGCATCATCCGTTAGATGAGGCACCCATGAATCTCAATCCAAGGCCGAGCTACCTCCATCGCCTACACGTGGGAAGGGCTCCGGTAAGCATTCAATTTGCGCCTGATCCAAACGTATTCCTAGCTCCTCTGTTGGTCTGCAAGAAGTGGCATTTCTGGGGCAGCCATATGTTCTATGGCCTAAATACGTTTGCTTTCTCTTCTTTGGGCGAATAGGGTCGCTTTGCCAAAGGTATTAAAGCAAACGTTCAACGGCTGCAGCATGTTGAGATCCTCTGGATAGGATCGCAGCATCTCACCTTTGCTATCAATGACCGCGGAAAATATACATCACGCCGCACATTTTCGCTCGTATGGCTTCCAGAGGCCATTCGCCTCAAAACTCTCGGCGTCTACCTCCCAGAGTCCAGTGAGGAGTATAGGCGTCGCCAACATGAACCGAGGGGCATAGTCGAGCACATGAAGCGCAAAATGCAAATACACCCTAATTTCAGAGGTTTCCGACCACTGCGCACAATACAAGGCATGGACTATGTTTATAGCCTCCGAGGCCTAGACCAGGCTGAGTTCTGGGATTTCGACCGGTGGCTTGATACAAAGGAGAGGAAGCAACCAGTGCGAGACTGGCACTTTATAAAGGACGTGAACAACTCTGTCCGCAGGCCCAAAGAAGCCGGTGATCGTTTTAAATCACAGTTGAAGAATCTCTTTCCATCACTCAGTTCGTTTGAGCCATCAGATGCAGATTGGGACCTTTTGCTTGGAGTTCTCGGGGTAGTAGAGGAAACCCCTCCGGAAGACTCAAGTTCAGATACTGACCCCGGCTCTGATTCTGACCCCGATTCTGATTCTGACTCTGGCTCTGGCTCTGACTCCGACTCTGGCTCTAACTCTGGCTCTGGCCCTCGCCAAAGTCGTCCTCCAAGCCCTGGTTCGGATTCAGGTTCTGGTTCGAGCTCAGATGATGACAGCGACGACGATGCCCCATCACAAACAATTCCGCGGCATAATATGGGGGTCAACTCGGTCAACAATGAGGAAGACGGTGGCCCTTCTACAGGGGACTCACAAGCTAACGATCTGCTCAACAACTTCCACTTGCTTCGCTTGATGGCCGTCGACGGTGACGGTGACGGTGACGGTGACGGTGGGAGTGAGAGTGAGAGTGAGAGTGATGATGGATCGGCCACCATCGTGCCAGATGACCGATCAGTCTCTGGACATGAAGTCATTGACCTTACCGAGGACGAGAATCACGAAAATGAGCCGAACCAAGAGATTGACAAAGAGATTGATCAAGAGTTTAATCAAGAATTTGATCAAGAATTTGACCAAGATATAGCGTCTTATCAAATTTCAACCAATGGCAATGTGGAGGGCAGCCTCTTCGTTTCCGATGATGGATACGCCCCGTCATATACAGAATCACTCACACGCAGCCCGCAGGGCAATAGAAGAACGGGAGGCTGTGGGCGTGATTCTGATGATTCAAACGATTCAAACAACTCCCCACCGGCCGCAGAAAGCGAAGCAAGTTTATTCATCGGCTCCGCACCTTCGCATATATATCGCACAGCCTCGTCGACGACGACTGGACAACAAAACGAGAGAAACAATATAGTGTTTGTTGACCTCACGGAGGAGGATCCGACTGACCAATTCCTCCGGGAACAACCGCCTACGCCACAAGACTCCCGCAAGCGCAACTATCTTAAGCTCGAAGAAGACGATGAGGAAGAAGGCGACGACGGTGGCGCTCCGGGAGGCGCGAAGAGGCTTTGCACGTAGAATGGCGCAGGCAGAGTGAAAATGAGTGAGTGAGTGGCTGGCTAGTCAGGCTCAGGAAGGACAGCATCTTGAAGGATGTTGAATTTGGGTTTATGAAATTTCGCTTCCGCACTATTAGTCTATAGCTATAAGCTATAGCTATAGCTATTATAAAATAAAGCTTATAGTGGGTATTTTGGTAGTTTTTAGGGCCCTATAGCTAGCTTATAGTATAAGGTATAGTTATTTTTAGCTAATTACCTTTTACAATTTATAACTTTTATAATATTATTAACTTAGTATTTAAAAAGTATAAAAAATAAATTAAAATTTTTATAAACTTATTTTCCCTAGGATTTTAGTTAATTAAATTAGTAAAATATAAATAAATATTAATTTTACCCTAGGATTTTAGTTAATTAAATTAGTAAAATATAAATAAATATTAATTTTACTATATTAACTTAATATATTTACTATTTTTCTCTTAAGTACTCTAAATATTTATTCTTAATTATAAATAAATAAAGCTTAAATAGTAATTCTTTTAGTATTAAATTAATATATAAATATAGTTAAGTAAGTTATTAAAAATTAATTATAAAACTAGTTATTTATATAATATAAAAAAACTTTATAACTTATACTTAAATATTAATATTATTATTATAAGACTATAGCTATTATTGATATTATAGCTATAGTTATAGTGGTTATTTTGGTGCTCTTTAGAGCTCTATAGCTAGCTTATAGCGCTAGCTACAGCTATTTCCAGTTAGCTATCCCCTATAGCCTTCTATAACCCTCTATAATATTAATCATAGCTATACTTGATCTATGATCTTACAACCTACCCTATAGCTTATAAGCAATTGCCTATTTAGGCTTAGCTCCCTACTTATCTTAATAGCCACTGCCTAATTAGGCATAGCTTATTCAGCAACCATAAGCTCCCTAGCTTACAGAAGGTTACAGCACCCAAAAGCCCTGTAACGGCTAACTTCCGAAAATCCCAAAACCAAATTGAATTTCGAAAGACCCACTTTTATCCCGATTTCAGCTAATTAGAATGCTAGAATCCTGCTTATATAAGCGTTTTTAGCCAATCAGATCGCTTGGAAAAGCGGGTCTCCAAGATCGTAAGGGGGGAGCCTTGCCAAATCGCTCAAAATCGCTCATTTCGTCATTCATGGCTAAAGGTTACTTTTACACAAATCCTCAACAAAACACTTGTTGAACACTCAGCGATTCTGCTACTACTGGAAGGAACAGGACTACATAAGTTATACCATTCGATAGCTAGGAAACAGGGCTATCTAACGGTACTAGTCTTGTACTATGATTCTGGCTGCTTGTGGAGGAAAATGAAATATAAATAGAGGAGGTTTTCCTGAGTTTTCCTATACTGGTAATCACACAGATTAAACAGTAATAACAAGCTATTTGCACTTTATTACACCTTTTTACCTTAATTACTAGACCAGTGATAAAACTAGCTACCCTATAGCACTTTTATAGTTTTATAATTATAATAATTATTATTTATATATTTTTAGTTTTTTAATATAACTATTATATTAACTTAGTCTAAATAAAATTATTAATAAAATATTTTTATTTATATATTAATTAATATTTTAATAATTTTATTTATAAAAGTAATAATAAACTTTATTAATATAAAGTATTCCCTTATAATAATTATAGTAAATTTATATAAAGGTTATATTTATTATTAAAAAGTTTAGTAAAACTATAATAACTAAGTTAAAGAAAGGCTATACCCTAGCCTTTAGTTTAAAATCTAGAATTAATTTATAGCTTAACTTAATTAACTATAGCTAACTAAGTTAAACCTTAAAAATTTAGGCTATAAAATATAATTAATTAAGGTTTAAGACTAAACTTAGAATATATAAAAAGGCCTAAATAATAAAGTTTAAGTATAATATAAATTTTAAGCTTATAACTTATAGTTTAATAACTTAATTAAACTAAATAAGCTAATTATTCTATTAGGTTATAAAAGGCAGTAATAATCCTTAAAAATAAATTATATATATAACACTTTTAAAATTAAAAAAATACTTAATAAGACTACGCACTTACTTATTAAGAGAGATAATTATTATAAAAACTCCTAAGTAATAGCTATAACTTAATCTTAACCTAAAATATATAATAAAATAGCTAAGTAAATAACTAAATTTATAATTAATAAAATTATAAATTTATAATTAAAAGCTTTAAAAAAGGAAAAACTAAAGTTAAGTAAGGTAAAGTATAAGCTAAATTAACTAAAGGGTATTAAAAACCCTAAGCTAAGTAAAGGGATTAAGAAAATTATTAAAAAAGTTAATAAAGTAATTATATTAAAGGCTAGGGCATAGCCTTCCTTTAACCTAGCTATTATAGCTTTACTAAATCTCTTAATAATAAATATAACCTCCATAAAGTAATTATATATAAAGGCTTTTTTATAATTAATTTCTTTTATATAGTTTATTTTTTATACTTAAGAGAGATAGTAAATTTATATAAATATATTATATTTTTTTATTTATTAATATATTATTTTTAATATTTTTTATAAATTAATTAATATTATTTTAAATAATTATATTATTATTAATAATATTATTTATAATATTAAAGTTAAAATAATTAATAAATATTAATTTTTAAAAGTTTTTAATTTTTTTAATTTTTTAATTTATTAATTAAATAATTATTATTATTATTTTATTAAATTTTATAAAGTATTAAAATAAGTAACTAAATTACTTATTAAATAAAGTAATTAATAAAGTAATTAATAATCCTTAAAAGGTTTTATTAATTATATTAAATTATATTTTTAATTTAAATTTTATAAATAATATTAATATAAATAATTTATTTTTTAATAATACTTAATAATTAAATATTTTTAACTAAGCTTTTTATATATATTTTTAATATATAATATATTAAAAATTTTATATTTTTTTTTTTATTATTAATAAATAAAATTAACTTAAATATTAATTAAGTAGTAAATATATATTTATATTTTTAAAAGTAGTAATATAAATAATACTTATTTAAAAAAATTATTAATAATTTTTTTATTAATATAATAATTATGTTTTTTAATTATTAATAAAGAAAATATATATATTTGAAATAAATAAATTATATAATAAATAATAATATTATTTATATAATTTATTTTTAAAAAAATATTAATAATATTAATAATATTACTATTTATTTTATATTTTTTCTAATACTTTAGGGATATATATTTATATATAATATATTTATTTATAATATTTTTTAGGAATTTATAAATATTATTTTTAAAAATTAATTTAAATAATAATTTTTTTAATTAATATTATTATTATTATTATTTAATAAATTTAATAAATTATTATTAAATCCTTAGTTATTTATTTATTAAAAAAAGTATATTTAAGAAAAATTAATAATATATTTATAAATTTTTTATTTAATAAAATAATTATATAATTTTACTTTTCTCTCTTAAGTATAAAAAATAAACTATTTAAAAAAAACTAATTATAAAAAAACTTTTATATATAATTACTTTATTAACTTTTTTAATAATTTTCTTAATTCTTTTACTTAGCTTAGGGTTTTTAATACTCTTTAGCTAGTTTAATTTATATTTTACTTTACTTAACTTTAATTTTTTTTTTAAAAGTTTTTAATTATAAATTTAAAATTTTATTAATTATAAATTTAGTTATTTACTTAATTATTTTATTATATATTTTAAGTTAAAATTAAGTTATAGTTATTACTTAGGAGCTTTTATAATAGTTATTTTTTTAATTAAGTATATAGTTTTATTAAGTAGTTTTTTAATTTTAAAAGTATTATATATATAATTTATTTTTAAATAAAATTATTATTACCTTTTATAACTTAATAAAATAATTTTATTTAATTTAATTAAATTATTAAATTATAAATTATAAACTTAAAGCTAGTTATATTATTTTTAAATTTTATTATTTAAGCTTTTTTATATATTTTAAGTTTAGTCTTAAACTTTAATTAATTATATTTTATAACTTAAATTTTTAAAATATAATTTAATTAATTATAATTAATTAAGTTAAGTTATAAATTAATTTTAGATTTTAAACTAAAGGCTAAAGTATAGTTTTCCTTTAATTTAATTATTATAGTTTTATTAAACTTTTTAATAATAAATATAATTTTTATAATTTTACTTTATTAATATTTTAATATATTAATATTAAAATTTAATAAATAAAATTATTTATTTTATTATTTATTAAAATTATTTAAATAATATATATTTATTAAATAAAAAATAATTAAAAGTAAAAATAAATAAATAAAAAAATAAATAAATAAATTTTTAATTTTTCTTAAGTATAATAAATAAATTACTTAAAAAAACTAATTATAAAAAAACTTTTATATTACTTTATTAACTTTTTATTAGAGCTAAGTAACAGACCTGATATTAAGGCCTCGAAAACGCATTAACCTTACAGTAGGGCTTAGCGTTTGCGTTATAAAATTGCTCTAACTACGCTAGGAAAGTATAGGCTAAGGGTTACGTAGCCCTTAGTATAATAGTAAATATTATATAATAACTAAAAGTTTTATAAAATTATAAAAAATTAAAGATAAATATAATTACTATTATATATTTATTTTATATATTTAATATAAAGCTTTTATAAACTTACTTTTATACTTTTTTATTTTTTTTTACTAACTTAACTTTTAATAAGTTTATTTCTTTAACTTATAAAAAGTAAAAAGATTATTAAAAATAAAAATAATTATTAATAATATTTATATATATAAATTATACTTTAGTAACTATAAGATTATAATCCCGCAGATTTAATAAGTAATATAATTATAAATACTATTATAAGTTATTTTATAAGCTAATATTATAATATTATTATTAAAAAGACTCCTTAATATAACTTCTTTATTAAAAAGGGAAACCCTTAGCCTAGACTTAT